AGGTGGGGGCAGGCCCCGGAGGAAGAGGAGGGAGGGACCGGGGGAGACCAGAAACAAGAAGACGGGAAGCCATGCCTCGAAGGCGAGGCAGGGAGGGGTGACCAAGACGGTGGTGCCAGAGGAGAGTCCGGTGAGACAGGAGACGACACGAGCAGGGGGCAGACTCAGGACCAGACCTGGACGCCGCAGCAAACACCTGACCCGACGCGGCTACCTGAGCAGACTCAGTGACTGGAGAAGACTCAGTAGTCAGTGTGTACAGGCTCGACCCTGGCCGACGAGCAAACGTGGCCAAGTGGCGGCCCGTGTCCGCACAAGTGCAGTGGGTCACCCGCTGACGCGCAGGGGTGAACTGGTCAACTCCTGCATCCTGGAGGTCAGCACCCGCCACCAAGTTCGTAGAGAACGAGGGGAGGTAGAGACCCGACAGGGAGCCAGACGGGACCGCTGGACACGGTAGGACAGTGGAGTAGTGAGCAAGGACAGGACCCCCAGAGGGGTCCGCTAGGGAGACCGCAACAGGCCGACTGAGCGGTGTGAGAGTGGTGCAGTCTCGAAAGAAGGAGCGGGAAGCACCCGAGTCAAGGGTGAAGGTGTGGGTGTCCGGGGGCGACGCAGCACCTGAGAGCGCAAACTCACCGGCACCTGGGGCAGCAGACGCACTGGCACCTAGAGCAGCAGCCTCACAAGTACCTAGCGCAGCAGCCTCTATGCCTGGGTCAGGCGGGAAACACCGGTAACAGTCACCCTCATCACTAATAGTCACAGCCTACAAGGCAGCAAGAATAGCATCAAAGTCAAGATCATAGATTGCAACACCCGCCCTAGACAGCTCGCCCCAGCGAGGGATCTCCGTAGCGTCGGGGAACTGGTGGCGCCACGCGTCTGTCAGCCGACCGAAGCAGCGCTGGGTGGGGTGCGGGCCTCCACACTGCTCACCCGCCCGGTCGCCGGTACGGAGAACGTAGGTGCAGGGGCCAGCACCCCCACCCCGCTGACGAGCAGCGTACCACTCACGAAGCTGCTGGGGGGAAGGGGTCTCACGGGTACGCTGCTGCTGCTGCTGCTGGCGCGCACCACCACCGGAGCCACCCCTCTGCGCAGCGCCACCCCGACCAGCTCCGCCGCCTCCGCCGCTACCTCCTCCACTACCGCCACCTCCGCCACCTCCGCTCCCACCGCCACCGCCGCCTCCACCTCCACCTCCAGTCCCGCCACCGACGCCCCCACCCCCGCCACCACCCCCACCGCCACCCCCACCCCCTCCACCACCTCCACCTCCGCCTCCACCGCCCCCTCCAGCCCCTCCAGCACCCTTGCCCCCCTTGCCCTTGCCAGGGCGGCGTCTCCCGCTAGGGGCAGACGCCGCAGCGACCGACTCAAGACCAACGAGGTCGGCCGCAGCAGCAGAGGCAACAGAGGGCAAGAGGGGAGAGGGGGAGCACCCCTCAAAGACAGGGGTACGAGGGTCACCACGAGAGGCACCTACTGCGACTATGCTCTTCTCTGCCGCGAGCAGGCGCTCCTCGAGGAGGTCAACGGTGAGGGTGGTGGGGCAAACAGAGAGGTTGTGGTCCCTAACCGGGCGAAGGGTGTCAGGGAGCCGGGTGACTATGTAGTAGAGGGTGATGTACATGGGGGGGGGGTTCTTGGCGCAGAACTCAGCAGGAAGCGCAGCGCGGTAGCGAGTGTCACTAGTGCGAAGGTGCGTAATGAGGTCAGCGACAGTGGGAAAAGCGGCGAGGTCAGGGAAGAGGTACGGTAGGATAAGGCGGCTAAGCGCAGCAGTGGCAGGGGAAGAGTAGCGCGCAACTACAGCGTCGTACAAGGTCTTAGCACTCTTGTACTGGCTAAAGTGCGCACGCTCAGAGGTCGGCAAGTGGCGGCGCACAGCAAGGCGGGCAGCAGCATCGCGTGTGGCCCACTGGGAGCGAACAGTGGGGTCAGCATCAGCAGCAGGGGCAGGAGAGGCACCAGAGGTGAGGTCAAAAAGGGAGAGGCCGTCTGCTCTGTCGCTCAGTAGGAAAAGCTGCAGGTCATCTACCCAGACGTCAAAGTCAATGGCCCGACCCTCAGCGTCAAAAGTGAGGACACTGGGGGAAGCCATGACAGCAGTAGACTAGCAGTGAGAGCAGCAGGCTAGGGCAGAGCAGTGGTGGAGGCGCTGCTCTTACCGGGCAGGCGAGAAGGACCGAGGCGCGTCGGCAGGAACAGGGCCGGGACGGCAGGAACGGCGGCTCGGCGGCTCAGCGGCTCGGCAGCTCGTCGGCACCGGCGTCTCGGCGGCTCGGCAGCACGGCGGCAACGACGGCTCGGCGGCTCGGCGGCTCGACGGCTCGGCGGCTCGGCGGCTCGGCGGCGGCGGCGTCTCGGCGGCGCGGCTGCTCGGCGGGGCCGCGAAGGGATGGCGAAGGGGCCGCAAAGGGCGGCGGTGGGGTCGCACGGGTGGGGCGACGGGGGGTCGCGGGCGGCTGCGACCACAGGAGTCGCGCGCGGCTGCGGCGACGGGAGGGCAGGCAGCCGCGGCGACGAGGTCACAGGCGGCTGCGACTGCAGGGTCGCGGGCGGCGGCGACGGTAGGGTCGCGGGCGGCTGCGACAGCAGGGTCGCGGGCGGCGGCGACGGCAGGGTCGCGGGCGGCTGCGGCGACAGGGTCGCGGGCGGCTGCAGCAGTAGGGTCGCAGGCGGCCGCGGCGACGAGGTCGCGGGCGGCGCGAAGGGCGACGGGGTAGCGACGGGCGGCGTCGGGGTCGCGGGCGGCTGTAACGACGCCGCGCAGGGCGACGCGAGGGTGGGGCCGCGGGGTCGCGACAGGGGGGCGCCGGGGCCAGCAGAGGCGGCGCCGGGGCCGGAAGCGCGGCGCGACGGGGCCGCTAAGGGAAGCGAGGGGAGGGGAGCGCGACTCGGGCAGGGGCGGAGCGCGCTCCGGGCAGGAAAAAAAAATCTTACGGTGGGCCCTAGGAACAGTTCCCACGAGGGAACCTGCTCTATACCATGTGAAAATTGGAACGAGAATGAATGCATTGAGCAGCATGAGGAGTACAAGTACCAAACCCTAGAATGTTGTACCCCATATGAGCTACCCCACTACAGCCTACACAGACTATAGTGTATAAGTTTGACACACCCCTCTTCCTAGTCTGGCTGTCAGAGTTACCTATTTTTTTTAGTCTGAAAATTCAGACAAGCACAATTTTTTTTGTATGAACTGTCAGAGTTACTTCATTTTAAGATGTTCATGCAGTTTGATAACAGCATAGCTATAATGGCATTGAAGCTGATTACAGCATACCAACGCGATTGTGCGGCCAGAAATGGGGCACTCTGATTGGTCATTTTTCTCGAGGTGTGGGCATCAGACAATGGCCTCGTGCAAGTGCCAAGTGTGGCAAGCTCACAATCAGCTGACCTGGCAGCAGACACGGTATCGCTCGGAAGTTTTCGATGGCATTCCTGGGGATGGCCAAACGCCAAACGTCTGGACATCTGAGCGTCGGTGCCACGTGCCTTCAACGAGGCAGCCCACCAACGGCCGTGCGACGTTTTCGCACGACTGATGTTCAGTAGTGTAGTTGACGGGGCGCGCTGGCAGCAGCAAGAGTTTTCAACTGTGTACACCCTATGTGCGCGGAATATTTTCTCCTAAAGTTGCAGCTTCAAAATTTTGACTCGGTTTGGCAAGGGAAATGATGTGCGGTTCTGCTGAAGTACGAGACTCATATGCGACAAGGCTTTCGTTTGCACCAATTCGCTTTTCGCCATGTGCGATTGCCTAGTTTCACAATTTAAGGATTATTTACTATAAGCCCCCAATGAATTCCACAATCGAGATAGCGTCGACAAAGTAGTGTATTCTGGTGCCCCTACTCGAGCAGTTTTCTCCGGAGGAAATCGTTAGTGCTGGCCCGTACACACGTGGGTGTATCGAAAAGAAGTTTCGAGGAAGTTTCGTTCCGATAACCTTTCATTCAGGCTGGCGGAAACCCCTGTATAACTGGTTTCAGAATGGACCCCCGATCAGGGCCCAAAATTGGTTTTGGCCTACCCTTACAAATCAGGGTAACAGCCCCTCCTTGAACAGACCCCTAGGGTAAAATTTTCCGTACCCTGTTGGCAGCAGGGTAAATCTACCATTACACTGATTTCGGCAGGGTAATTCTATATCTAGTCTGTTTTCACTACTAGTAATTTCTACAGTAACAATAAAGTAGCACGAAGTTCTCCTTGACGCGCAACTCTGCTCAGCTGGCAGTGGTGTGGCTCGATTAAGGGGTGTTTTGCCAGTCTAGTGTAACAATAGACACAATGCTACAATCAATACAAAACTATTGGTGTGTGTCTCAGTTGGTTATGTAGATTCAGATCTCAAGGTGGCGGGTTCAAATCCTGTGGGCGATTGGATCAGTTTTGCCATTTCGCAACGAAAATCCTCGCTACAGAGGATTCTGTATCAGTGTAATGTACAGCGCACCCTGATACAGCCAGGGTAGCCGAAATCGCTATAAGTGTAAAAAAAAATACTCTTTTTCGTAAGGGAAAAAATCTTGGAAGCCTGATTTTGAAAGGGTAACTCTGAAAAAACGGCCGGCCCCCAGGGTAATCAGGGCATTTTACCCTGATATTTTGGGCCCTGCCCCCGATACAAGTCTGAGGCTCAGCCTACACTACTATGACTACTCTGAAATTTCAGACAACTCAGTTAAAAAAACTCTGGAAAATCAGACAGGGTGCATAAAAAAATTCTTTGAGTTCAGACTAGGTACAAATAAAAAGTCTGAACGGACTCTGAATCAGACTCCAAAGTCTGATATCTAGGGCAGCGCGCAGAGGGGGGAAGATTCCTATTTCCCCTCGCTCCCCCTCCGCCAGTGCCTAGAGAACACCACCGATACAAAGAAGGTCAATATGCAACTGCCGAGAATTTGCATACACAGCAATTCATCTGAACTACTAAACCCATCCTACTGTACACAATCTAAGGAGCTGCACATCCATAATGATCATTGCGACCCTAAGAACTCCATCAGCGTTTGCACATACTGCTCGGAGTGAGTCTGAAGCACATCAGTGCCTGCCGAGTTAATGTGGTAATACTTCCCCTTGCCCATACGCGATGCAGCCATCATGGTTTCAAACTGGAACGGGTCGTCACAGCCTGCCAGGCACAGCACGGGCTGCTGCACCTTGTCCAGCAGTTCCCCGTGGTGCACTGCTGCATGTGCCTTGGCGAGCAAGTGGCGTGTCAGCAGCGACTGAAGGCCCTCCATTACCTCTTCAACCTGAGAGGACACACACCAAGTGCAGGACAAAGCACGAGCACACGATAAGGCAGCATAAAAAGAGTAACGCCAGAAAGGGTGTGCGGACAGTCTCTTAGGGGTGTGGGTGGTTCATCGGCGACGGGACGTGGCTTACGAGATGATGAAGTGACGGATGGTGGGCTGTACTCCGCATCAGTATCTGCTGCACTGCCACAGCAACCACGCTCTGAGGAGCAGCAGCCGCCGCACCATCCCCATCCCCACCCCCCGCGCTTATTGCCTGTGCAGCGGCTGCTAGCAGCTTGGCGCGCTCGTCCTGCGGCATGACGCCCCACAGACCCACTCGCCTCACCCGCGCGGGGAACACGACCGCCATCTGCAGCGCCAAGCTCGCCCCGAATCCATGCCCCACCTGTCGACAGGGGATGGCGAGATGGACCGAAATAAGCTCACAGTATTCAAGCCAGATGCGCTAAGCACGGAGGGGGACAAAACCAACGGGATGACGAGCAGACGTGTTGCAAGGACGAGAAATCGTGCGAAGGAGAGAGCACGCACGAGGTCGAAGCGCTGCGTGAAGCCAACGTTGATGGCGGCGGCGACGGCGATGGCGCCCATCTCCAGCATGCTGTAGTCGCGACACGCCGCCGTCGTCTCGCCGCACCCCGGCAGATCCACGGCCAGCGCGCAGCATCCGCGCGCCGCCAGCAGCGGCAAGACGGGCGCCCACATGGCGGACGAGCGCCCCGCGTCGTGCAGCAACACCACGGGATGGCCCGACCCGCACCTGCACGAATCACACGCCACGAACCGCACACACGATGATTTGAGACGCACGCTTTTGCACTGGGCAGAAAGGATTCGTAAGCGTCACATGTCTTGCACGAATTGCGTACCTGCGATAGTGAACCTGGCCGCGCGGCGTTGTCGCATACCCCTTCACGACAGCCGCTGCCTCCGCGCCTCCCATGGCCTGCTCACACTCCGCCTGACTCGCCGCCTGCACCGCTTCTCGCTGCCGCGCGCCGTCGGGAGTCGCAGGCTCGCTCGAGCACCTTAATCGCTCGTTGTCGCTCGCTCTAACGCCGATTCTCACGCTGCTGCGTTGCGAGTCCATGCTATTACCCGCAGACTCACTGCGTCCAAGTAAAGCCCGATGGTTAGCGGGAATCAGGTGGGTTGCCGGGAGATCCCCGTCATTGCTGCCGCCGTCATCCCCCCGCTCGCTGTCCGTGCGCGACCGCTTCAACACCCTACTACGGTCATCCGACGATTCCCAGGAGTGACTCCGCGCCGAGGCACGCGCGGTCGGCGAAACATCCAAAATCCCGCGGTCGCATGGAGTCGGGGATGGTCGAGAGGCGGTGATGATTTGATCCATGAAGGACGCCGAGCAGCGGCGGGTCTTGGAGTCGGAGAAGGGTAGCGCGAATCACGGATTCCGACTGCACAAGCTTGGGATCGGATAATTCAGTTTTGGAAGGCAAACATGGTTGCGTGACGAGGAGTGTGACGATGACACTCTTAGAAAGCTGGAAGAGATGGGAATTGCAGAGAGAATGGCGGTGTAGGTGCAGCAATATGACCACAAATGTGGGTAGGGTTCATGCAGAGAGAGCAGCTCGCATGCCATCTCAAGTTGTGCCGGATGACAATCAGCGAGAGACTCATCCCTACCTCAACTGCTGCAATGAAAAGCGTGCTGCGCTGTCGTGTGCCTTCATTGCGCGTGCAGCACTCTGCTCCTGGATGTGGTTGGGATGAAGCGAAGTGGTGGAGCAGGCAGCTGGCGACGGGTCACCCACCCAACAATCCCCATTTCGGGGGGACTAGGCTGAGGACGCGTCACAAGTAAAATATCGAGGAAGGATCAGGGTTGTTCACCGAACCTGTCAAACCGATCGCCATATCGGTGTGTCACGACTGCTTTGAAGTTTCAAGTGACACGGTCGTAAAAACATGGGGCAAAATTGCCCGATGTGGACGAAATTGCACGATCGATGTGTGACAGGGGCACATCGATCGCCTGACTTAGAAGGGAAAACTGTACGTTAGCGAAAATTAACGAAAAGTGTAACCACCTAAACACCGAGTCTAGGCAGGATCGATGTTCTACTTGTGACGCGTCCTGAAAGCGTGTGATTGAAGTTTCGTCCCAGGAACAAATTCCCATCACCGAGGCTTCGAAAAAACTTTGTGGAAACACGAAATCTGGCCACGTAGTTCTCGATTCTTTCGTAAAACGCCTGTCGGAGTGGAAGCCAATCTCACATCTGTCTCCAACAGGCTGACGGGTATTTTGTAAGAACAGCCACCTAAAAAAATCACTTTACAGAACCACTCCCGATCAAAATTCAGTGTTGTGTCAACCGTCGCGACACACGAGCATGGAACACAACGCAAAGCCAAAGCACTGTCGTCTGTCGTTATCGTGGAAATGATTATATAGATTCACGTGAAGGGCACGCGTGCCAAGAATCCAGAAAAGCGTGTCTGGTGGGTGGTGATGAGGGGTGGGCCAGCTGTAACCTGTGAGATGTGGGGGTAAGTTTCTCCCTTCCACAGTTGCTGTACATTTTCCTGGCTTGTCTCTCTGTGGCTTCCCAAACAAGGTGTGACTTCATTATGAGATATTGATGGTGCAGCACCTTCAACAAGTACCGTTTATAATATGGAGCACCTTGCACCTAATCTCGCCCAGCGGCAGTCCAAAATGCAAACAGGGTTCCGAATCGAGTTACCCGGAGTATTCAAAACAACATTTCACACACAGTTTTACCGCAATGTATGATGGCTTGCCTGGTCTGGAAGAATGGGTTCCCAGAGGGTGGCGCTACAGTACTTGCTGGGGAAAGATTCACGCGTTGGACAACAGAATCCTTCCCATGCTCCTGCCCCATCACCTTATTCATATCCACTTAAATTCGTTAGAATTGTGTATTGAGAGACCAACAGGCTGTACACTTGAAGCAGGCCAATACACAGTTATGCTTGAGCTACTACGCTGGATAACAGCTCCACTGTTCACCTCTGGCAGTTGACCCAAAAGCCTTGAACCTTGGAAATATCCCCTAAAACCTCCCCCATATGAGATTTCTTTACTGCCGCGAAATCATAACGTGATTTTGTTTCTTGAGTCTGGTCACGCTGAATGCTGCGTGCCGATTGATAAATATCCGCAATTTACGCGCGGATGCGAGCAGTTTCCCCGCGTAAGGTCTCTGCGTAAGGAGCAGCCATGGCGAAGGATAAGAGCCGAGTGGAGAAGGGGAAACGCAAGCAAGGACGAGGCGAGTCGAAGAAACAACATTCGCAGTCCACCCGACGGTTCAGAGTGAGCCAGACTCGAAGCTAGTAGCTCTAGCCTTAAGTATTGAGCAAATTGTGGTCATAGAACAATTAAATTACGCACGACGAAGTCACAAGCTCGGCTTCAGCATGGTGTAGTGACGCTCAAGCAGCGAATAAGGCTAGTCTAGTGAGGAATGAAAGAGTCTCAAACGTGCTCGCATGTCCTGGACGCATCTGCTTAGTTGTCCCCTGACCCCTAACCCCTCGCGCGCGCCGTGCCTTGCGCGCGCACCCGCAGTTCAAGAGCTTCACGCGGCAGGTGGAGGAGGCGCAGGTGGATGTCTTCCGCTCGCTCGCGCCCGCGCAACAGCAGCCCTCCGCCGGCTGCTCCTCCTTCTTCCAGCAGGCGCTGCTGCACTGGCGGGTCAGTCCCCGCCCTCGCCCTCCCATAGTTCCTCCCCCCTCTCCCACACCTCATTTCCCCTCACACCCCCGTCGCTGTGGCTCCCATCCCTCACTTGCTACTCCCCATGCCCCCCCATGCCCCCCCATGCCTCCATGCTTCCCATGCTTCCCCTCCTCTCCGTTGCCCCCCTCCTCTCCCTCCACGACCTCCCCGTATCCCCCAATGCCCTCCCCCCCCATCCCCCCCATGCCCTCCATGTCCCCCCATGCCCGCCTGTTGCGGCGCGCAGGAGGAGAGCGCGGCGGTGGATTTCAACGAGGTGCACAGCGAGGTGGCGCCGCTGGTGGCGTCGCTGCCGCAGCTTGTCTTCCACCGAGAACGCATCGTGCACGCGCTGCTAGCACGCCTCTCCATGCGCGCCCTCCTCTCCCTGCAACCCCTCCTCAGGTGCCCACCCACGCCGCTTCTTCTCTCCATTCCTTCCCTCTCCCCTCTCCCCCCGGCACCGCCATCCCACACGCTCGCTGATTTGATTTGATTTCACCCCAGCGTATGTATGTGTGTGTGTGCCAGTGCCCCTTGCATGCCCCTGTCGCCTCTGGGCCGCCTCAACTGCACCCACGTGTTCACTCTCATCATTTCTCCTTCCCTCCCCCCGTTCCCCTCTCCCTTCCACAATCCCGCCTCCCCCCTATCCCCTCTCCCCTCCCTCACCTCCCGTCTCCTACACCTCCTCCCCTCTCTCTCCTCTCCTCCCCATGCCCCGTCCGTATCCCGTCTCCCCTATCCCCTCCTCCCCCTTCCTCCCACGTGTGCGGTTCTCCTTCTCTGCGTGGGCGAGCACAGTCTACTGGGCACGCTCCCTCGGGACCTGCAGCACGACTTCCTGCCGTGAGTGCTGCCACGCCCTGCACTGCACTGCACGGGGCGTGCTGGGAGGGGATGCCTCGGAGAGTGGCAAGGGTGGGGATGGGATGTGCCATGCGATGCAGTGAGGGAGTGGGGTATGCTGTGTGTGTCATGGCGGGCTCTCCTCACGTGTGCTGTTCCTCTTTGCTGCCTTGCGTCTGTGCCACCACACCTCTTCTGCTCTCCGATCACTCTTGCCGCTCCCTCTCCCCCCTCTGCTCGCAGCTTCCTGCCGCTCTGCTTCGACGCCTGCTTGCGTCTGTTGCAACAAGGGGCGGACAGAGATGCTGCCGTGCTACAGCAGGTCAGCCCACGCGTGCCACGCTGTTCATGCTTCTCATTGATTAACCTACGTTCCTTCTTGCTCCTCCGCCCCACCCGCCGGCATCCATCTCGTTCCTACCCTCTGCTCTCCCCCCCCCTCGCACCCCCCTGCCACCCGCCCCGCGCCCCCCTGCGCCCCCCCCATGCGCTGCGCCCCCAGGTGGTGGAGTGTGTGGCGCAGATGGTGAAGCACCTGCGCCACTACCTCACACCTGACATCGTCACTTTCCTCAAGTGAGCCGCCTCTTCCCCTTCCCACTCCCCATGCCCCTCTCCCCCTCTCACGTGCTGCATGGCCCTCGCCTCGCCACCATACCCACGCCTCCCGTCTCTCACCTGCCCTGCCCCGCATGCACCTCCTTACCTCCTTTTACCGTGCCCTTTGCTGCCCACGCTGCTGCTGCTCCGCCCATCTCCTTCCCCTCTCTACACCCCTCCCTACTTCGTCACCACCACTTCTCCTGTGCGTGCCTCCTCATGGCCCCACTCTCCCCTTCCCCTTCCCCTTCCCCTTCCCCTTCCCCTTCTCCTCTCCGCCCCCCTCCCCGTGCGCCAGGATGACCAAGGCGTTGCGCTTCTACCCGCCGAGCTATGTGCGAGAGCTGCTCGCGCACAGCCTCGCCTTCCTGCTGCGCACCCTCCCACCGCTTCACCACCTCTCCCCCCACTTCCCCCCAATCCCTCGCCCCCCAACAGGATGACCAAGGCGTTGCGGTTCTACCCGTTGGACTATGTGCGCGAGCTGCTCGCGCACAGCCTTGCCTTCCTGCTGCGCACTGCCCCGCCCAAGCAGATGGCCAGAGGTGCGCGCAGGGGGGGCAGGGATTAGTGGCAGTTGCTGAAAGACTGAGGTTTGAGGGGCTGGTATATATGCACGGGACAGGGCTTGTTGCTGTTCGGAGGTTGCGTGCCTTTTGTTGCTAGGCATCGTGCTTTTGTCTGTTGTATCGCTTGCGACCCAATTCATATTCTCCATCGTCCCCCCACTTCCCCTTCCTTCCATGCCCTCCCTCCACACCCCAGGCGTGCGGTGGGTGCTAGCAGAGGCGAGGGCGGTGGCATGTGAGGAGAGGGAGAGCGGGGTGGCGCTGCTGCTGGCACATGCAGCCAAGGGCCCCGCGCACTCTCTGCACTCCAAGGCCGCGCCCCTGCTGCTGCGCCTGCTGCTGCTGCCCTCGTCCCTGCGCCCCCCGGCGCTGCTGCTGCTGCAGGGCCAGCGAGGTGAGCCCGTGGCGTGGGTGGGTGAGGCCAAGGGTAACGTGGGGGGGCGTGTGTTGTGTTGTAGGGCGATTGGGTGTGTCGTTATGGCCGCTGGAGCCGTATGGAGGTCGTTTTGATCTGACGACCCTTGTGGAAGGTCCAATGATGGTTGAAGAGCGTGGATGACATGTGGTGAGGTGAGATGACATGCGCGTGCAGCACTGCCCACACAACAAACCCCTTCCTCCCATTTCCCCCCTCCCTCTGTGCCCCTCTCCACATGCCACCCATCGTCTGTCATGCCCTCCAGCTGTTGATGCTGCTGACGTGGCACTGACAGTTGTCACCCGTGTGATACGCCTGCTGGCCGCCCACCTCACTCCCGCTACTGCCGGCCCTCTGCTCTCGCTGCTCCTCACAACCGCCTCGCAAGCAGTGCAGGGGGGAAGGGACGGGGGAGGCGCGGGTGGGGAGGAGGAGGGCAAAGGAGAAGGGCAGGGGGATGGGGAAGAGCGCGAGGAAGGGGGCGAACGGAAGGAGGAGGGTGGTGTGAGTGGGGGCGGGGGGCGGTGGGAGGAGGGGAGGCGGATAGCAGATGTGATTCACTTGCTGAATGCAGCGCTGCAGCACCGGCGAGGCATGCTGGTCACCCACCTCGCGCCCTTCGTCTCCCTCTCCCTCTCCCTCGCCTCCCACCCCCTCCTCCTCGCCTCCCTCCGTTCCTCCTCCCCCTTGCCCCAGCTCCCCGCCCCTCCCCGCTCTCAGCAGCAGCACGCAGGGGGGGAGGGGGAGGCGGAGGAGGGGGTTGGGGGAGCAGCAGGCGCAGCAGGGGATGCAGCGGAGGGGGGGGATGCAGGAAAGGAGGGGGATAAGGTGCAGCGCGAGGTGGTGCGGGAGTTGATGCTGCTGCTGCTGGGGGTGATGAGTAGGGAGCGGAGGAGGAAGGCAGGCCAGGGGGCGGAGGGGCAGGAGCGGGGAGGCGAGGGCGAGGAGGGCGAGGGGGGGGAGGGGGAGATAGCGCGGGCAGTGCCGCGGTGGGAGGTGGTGTTTGACTGCCGCAATGACACCCTGTGAGTGGCGCTGCTATTGGTATGCTGGCAATCAATCATCCTCTTCTTGTTCCTTCTAGCCATCCATGCTTCTATGCTCTTCCTGCCTCACTGTATGCAACGAGTTTCATCCTCACCTCTCCTCCTCCGCTCCCACCCCTCCCCTCCTGCCCTCTCCACCATGCCCACGCCCATGGCGCTTGGTGCTCGGAACTTGTTGCTCGCCACATGGCGCACGGCGCATGGCGCGTGGGTGCATGGCAGCCTGCTGTGGTTCCTGCGCCAGCTGGCACAGCTGCAACCCCACGTGCTGCTTCTCCTGCTGCCGCCCACCATGCGGTAACCACACTCCGCCTCGCCACCCGCTGCCCATGCACGCTCCACTTCACACATGCCATTGTTGCTGCACTGCGCACAGCTTCTTCCCCTCACACATCCGCCAGCACTGCTACGCTGCCATGGTGAAGTCATCACCACCCATGGCGGCACATCACGATCTGCACCTCACTATGCCGCCCTTCACACAACTGCTTCCCTCACCCATCTCACTCCAACTCCGTGCCTCCCCGCGCCTCTCCCCCTCGCCTTCCGTTTCTCTCCCACCCGTGCTCTGCAGCGCCCTGAACCGCCTGGCTGCATCACACCCCGCCCCCGTGCTGCTCATCTTCCTGGAGCTTGCCGAGAAGCTTCCTGATTGCCTTGCTGACTCCACATTGCAGCAGGGCAGCAAGGGGGGGGCGGGGAAGGCGAGGGGAGGGCTGCAGCACCTGGTGGGGGGACTGGTGGAGGGGGACGTGGTGGGGGGAAGGGAGGGGGAAGGGGAGAGAGGAAGAGCGAGAGGGAGGGAGGAAGTGAGTGAGAAGGTGAGGGGGAGTGCGAGGCAGGCACTTGTGTGGGCGGCAGTGAGATGTCTGAAATCACTGCCTGTGATGACGTGGCAAGACAACCTGATGCTGTGTCAGCGCGTGATTGCTGATGTGTCACGCCAGCTAGGCACGTCCCTTGAATCACAGAGTGACAAGGGAGGTGAGGGGAAGGAGGAAGCAGATGGAGAGCAGCGGGGGAAGGGGAGGGCGCGCAAGAGAAGGAAGGGGCAGCAAGGCGCGGAGGGCAGTGGAGGGTCGGTTGAGAGGGCAGTAGCTGCTGTCCCCCGCCCGGCCGTTGCTGCATCCACGGACTCACACCAAAGGCAGCAGCAGCAGCAGGAAGCGAGGAGGGCATGGGAGGGAGTGCTGGCAGCAGCACTGGAAACCCACTCCGTGCTGCTCTCCTCACACTCTGCCACCCACCTGCCCCGCCACCTACCGCTCTACCTCTCTGCCGCCCGCCACCACTGCCGCTCACTGCCCATCCTCTCCGCCGTTGCTCTCTTCCTCCAATCCTTCCCCAGGTGCGCCCACCCACCCTCGTTGCTCTCTCCTTCGTGTTCTCTGTCTCTCTCTGCCACCATTCGCCGGATGACACACCACCTGAAACAAACTTTGATATCCATTTCTCACCTGCTTGTGGTGACTCCCCCCACCTGCTCCCTTGTTTCTCCTCGGTTTAACCAGGGCCCGCGTGGGTGACACGTCAGCATCTCTGCCCGAATTCCCGCCTGAGCTGTCAGCCAACCACATGCCTGCAATGCTTGAGGCGCTACAGGACAACTTCTGCCACCCAGCACGTGAAATGCGGGTGGCATCATTGCGCATTATCTGTCACTTCGCGTCCCTGCTTGTGCGGGTGGGGGGGGAGGGGGTGGAGGCGAAGGGGAAGGGCAGGGGGAAGAGGAGGGCCGAGCAAGCAGCAGGGGGGACGGTGGTGGTCGCAGGGGAGGATGCCGAGCCGTGTCTGGTGGGTGCCATGCCATGCCATGCCATGCCATGCCATGCCATGCCATGCCATGCCATGCCATGCCATGCCATGCCATGCCATGCCATGCCATGCCATGCCATGCCATGCCATGCCATGCCACCATGCCATGCCATGCCACCCCATGCCATGCCATGCCATGCCATGCCATGCCACCATGCCATGCCATGCCACCCCATGCCATGCCATGCCATGCCATGCCATGCCATGCCATGTGCTGTGCGGTTGGTATCATGTCATGTGCAGTAGGATGCGTTGCCAGAATAAGCCATTCACCACTGCTCACATGCATCCTTCGCTCCCCTACCCCTTCCATGCCTCTGTTGTTCTCAGGTGTTTCATCAGGTGGAAGCACTGGAGTCAGCACCCTATGACCTGCAGATGGGCCGGCATGCTGCCACCGCATTGGCTGCCCTCGCTGCTCATGCCACGTCAGCACGGCTGCCCAACCAGCTGCTGCCAGCTGTTACTCGCTGTGTGCTAGGGTTGCTGCACTCCAAGTTTGCGATGATGTGGCAGCCTGCCATTGGCTGCCTTGCAGGTGAGTCCCGCGTTTGTCACTTCCCGGTTCATCACAACCCTCTAGTCTCAACGTGCCCCCCACCACCCATTGCTACTGACCTCCTACTGTCTGCCTTTTCTTCTTCGTCCTTTCTATGCTGCTCTGCTCCGCACTCCCTTCCCTGTTGGTCATCTCCTTCTGACCCGGCATACATTGTTAGCCTCATCTTTCGCCATGGCACTTCGCCTTGTCCCCTTCCCCCCTGGCCCCTCCCCTCTTCTCCCCCTTCCTAGCGCTGCTCTCCGCCTATCCCTCTTCCGCCTGGCCCGTGGTGTGGCGGGAGCTGCGCCACCTGCAAGGAAGCTTCCTCCTGGCGGCAGCTGGTGCGCCTGCGGAGTCAGGCGGTGGGGCGCAAGGGGAGAGGCAAGGGGAGGAGGGAAAGGAGGGCGAGGGGGAGGAGGAGGGGGAGCATGAGGATGCGGAGGATGGCAGCAGCAGTGCTGCAGGTGAGTGGTGAGAAACCTGAGAGGGCTGCACAGGACATGGTGGTGGTGTGGGGGATGGGGCATGAGTGGGATGGGGCGTGGGTGGTATGGGTGGCATGGGGCATGGGAGGCATGGAATGCACGAGTGAATATCAGGGCTCCGTCACATGTTGTAACCATGTTTGTAACCCCACTCCTACTCGAGCCTGCTCATCCTTCTCTGCCTCTATTCTCCGTTCCGCCTCTCCACCTGCCTCCACCTGAACGTCTCACTGCACTACTAGTGCTCCCCTGCACTCTGTCTCCCCCTTCCCCCGTTTTCCACCATTCCCCCTCTCTCCCCACACCCCTCCATCACCGCCAGGCATAACGGCGCTCTTCCTCCGCTTCGCCATGGCAGTGCCCTCAGGAGCTCCTTCCTCAGCAGTGCTGTCATCGCTGCTGCGCGCGCTCAGGCAGGCGCCAGCAGTGGCCGCCACACGCCTCTCTCCCACAACCCCACCACCGCTCTCCCAAGCCACTGCCCTCACGCCGCATGGGGGCACCTCTGCTGCTGCCGGTACTGCCGGTGCACAGCAGGGGCAGCAGGGGCAGCAGAGGCGTGGCACGGCGGGGCAGCAGCTGGCGGCGCTCTTCCTGGCGTTCGTTGGTGACTCAGATGACTGCCTGTACGCCTGCCTCTTTATTCCTCTCTTTCATCCCCTCCCCTCTGCGCCCCCTTTTGTCCATTATGCTCCTCGCATGCCTCTCTCTCCGCGCACTCACAATGGCACCGCCCCACTGCCCCCTCAACTCATCTCCCCTTCCTCTACCCACACCCCTGCCGCTCCCCTCAGGCCGACAGCGCATACAGGGCAAGTGGAGATGTTAGAAGGGGGCGGGGATGGGGCAGGCAGGGGGGAGGGCGAGGAGTTGGAGGAGGGAGTGGTGGTGAACAGAGCGATGGTACGGGGCAAGCAGTGGCACGTGGTGCTCTCTGATTGGCTGGAGCTGCTGAAGCGCGTAGACCTGGCAGCGTGTGGCTCCAAGGGAGAGGCGCTAAAGCATGTCATCATCGACAGGTGCTGCCCTGCCCTGCCATGCCCCACCCACTCTCCACTGTCCTTTCCTTCCTCTATCATCGTCTTCCTCCACTTGCGTCTTCCAGTCCTCCATCCCCGTGCCACCATCCCACCACTTGTCCTCAATCCCGCCCCTGCATCCGCCTTCTCGTCTCACCACCACCTGCACCCGTCCCTCCCCACTCACACGAACCAGGTTCCTCGTGCATCCGGACCCAGCGGTGCAGCAGCTGGCGCTGGACTGTCTCGTGGCGTGGCGCCACGCCTGCCTGCCAAAGTACGCCGCCCGCCTCGCCGCCCTGGCCTCGTACCGCTCGCTCAAGGAGACGCTCACCACGTGGGACATCAGCCCTACAGATGAGGACGGGGAGGAGGGCGAGGAGGAGGAGGAGGGGCGGGTGGTGGAGGCGGACAGGGCGAGTGTGATCCCGGTGGTCATCCGGCTGCTGCTGCCCAAACTCAAGAAGAGGAGCGGCCAGCTTGCAGGGAAGGTGAGACGAGGAGCAGAGATTTGGAGGGGAAGGTGACCTGCTTTGCATGCTTCTCGCACGTCATCACTCTTTTCAATTTCCCGCCTCATTGTCTCGTCACGCTCCCCTCCTTCCCCCCCCACCAGGCGGCAGCAGGAGTGCAGCGCGGCACAGTGCTGACGTTCCTGGCGCGCCTGCCCCCCACGGAGCTGCTGCCGCTGTTCCACCTCATGCTGCTGCCCTTCCGCCCCGCCCTCCGCCCCGCCCACCAACCGGGCGCGGCAGCGCTCGGAGAGGCAGGCGAGGAGGCGTGGCAGCAGGCGCTGAGGCAAGGGGCCACAGAGGAGTTCCTGCTGCTGCTGGGGGAAGGGGGGGATGGGGGAGCAGGGGCGGGAGAAGGGGCAGGGGAAGAGGGGGAGGAAGGGGCAGCAGGAGCAGGAGCAGGAGCAGGAGCGGGCGTGGGGATGGTGGGGCGCAAGCGCGTGAGTGGGTTTCTGCACCTGGCGGTGGATGTGGTGCGAGTGATGAGCCGGCAGCAGCTGCAGCCGTACGTGCTCGCCCTGCTGGCTGTGGCCGTGCGCACCGTGCAGTGCTACCCCCCGCTGCCCCCCACTGCTGCTGGCGGTGAAGGGGGCAAGGCGGAGAGGCTGGATGAGAACATGGGCGAGGGAGTGGAAGAGAAGGAGGAGATCATAGAAGAGGATGGGGAGGGAAAGGAGGAAGAGGTAGTTGAGGAGGAGGAGGAGGCAGAGGAGGTTGAAGGGGAGGAAGGGCAGAAAGAGGAACAAGGTAGTGAAGGCAAAGACGAGGGTGCTGATGCTGCTGCTGAGGGCCGTGGCGATGGTGATAAGGATGGGCACAAGGAGGGGGGGGATGATGCACCTGATGAAGATGACGATGATGACGTGGAGGGCAATACCGACGCCAGTCAGTCCCTCACCCCGCACGTGCCCAACTGGACCCGTGAGCTGCGTTCACTCGCCCTGCGTCTGCTCGCCACCATCCTCGCCAAGTTCCCCGACATCGCCACGCGCCCCTCCCTGCCCGCCCCCCTGCGCCCCTGGCCGCTGCTGCTCGCCGCGCTCTCCCCCGCCCTCACCCACCTCGCCACTGTCAACGCCGCCTCCGCCGAGCCGTCCGCACTGCTCGCCCTGCTGCTCGCCTTCTCACGCTCGCCTCGCCTCGCGCTGCTGCTGGCCTCACACCCGCACGCACTGCCTGCGCTCGCTGCGCTGCTCTCCTTGCCGTCTGCCCGCCTGCCTGTGGTGGGTGCGGCCATGGGGGTGCTGTCTCACGTGGTGGCGTGGGGCGTTGTGGAGCGAGAGGAGGGCGAGGAGGGCGACGAGGAGGGGGAGGTGGTGTTGCAATGGGAGCAGGCGGGGGGGGAGATGGGAGGGGAGGTGGAGGGGGTGCGTGTGGCGATAGGCACAGCGGTGGAGGGGCATCTGGCCGCCATCCTGCCGCACATGCAGCAGTTCATCGCCAGGCAGGGCGCACTCTATAGGTGAGACACTGCAATCAATCTCGTGCGCAAACCCTCTCCCTCTCCCTTGCACGCCCTTTCAGCCTGCTTCACTTGCCCGCTTCTCCCCTCCTACGCCTCCACTCCTCACTGTTTCTTCCACACTCTCTCCTTCACCCTTCTCCGTGCTACTCTCTTCCCCCCACCAACATTACCACGGCACGGCGTGGAGCAGCAAGGGGGGGGGGAGGGCGTTGAAGGCATCAGCGCTGGCAGCGGTGGGGCGGATGGCGGGCATGGTGACACACGCACACCTGGCAGGCCAGCTCGCAGCCGCGCTCACGCCCTTCCTCAGGCAGGCAGCGGACGGCAGGCGGCGAGTGGAGGAGAGCACCACAGCGGCCGTGCTGGCAGTGCTGCAGAGCCTGGCGCCGCTGCTGTCACGGGGTGCAGCAGCCACGTGTGTGCGGCTGTTCGCCCCGCTGCTCACCACCGTGCAGTCCAGGCCGGCTCGCCTGGCCGTCGTGCACACACTCTCTGCACTCGCTGTCGCCCACCCCGCGCATTCCATGCGCCTCCTCGTATGCACACACCCTCGCAACACATGTGCCTGTTCACCACTACAACTCCTTGTTGCCTGCCTTGACTCCTTGTCCCCCCCTCTGGTTTCCGTAATTCATTCTCTACTTCCTCAACGTTTAATTCATTCTCTACTTCCTCAACATTTTTTCCTTCCTGGTTCCACCGCCAACGCCCTCATGCCACCTCCATCCCTCCCCCTGTCATGGTGTGCAGGCGTCACTAGTGGCGGACCTGTGTGCGTACGACCCGGCGCGCATTGACGAGTATGACTACACACGCCGCCTGCACGCCTACACCTCCATGCACTGCCACCTCCCCACCACTGCTGACACCACCTCCACCGCTCTGCACCGCTCTGCAGCGCAGGTGAGCAGCAGGCAGTGGTGGTGGTGGGGCGGGAGGGGTGTCTACTGCTGCTGAGCTGCGCGGTGCGGGACATGGCGGACGATGACATGTCGCTGCGCCACTCCGCCGCCCACTTCCTCCAGTCCTTCATCCGCCTCGCTGCCGCCCTCGCTGCTCTCCCTCCCGCCCCTGGCGCTACTCGTGCACCAAGGAAGGGCAGGGAGGGGGAGGAGGGGGGCGCACTGAGTGGGAGGGAGGCACGAGAGCTGGTGAATGCAGTGCTGCTGCGGCACATAAACAAGGGCCTGCACTCGCCCATCGTCGTCGTGCGCAGGGTAATTCCACTCCTCCCACCCAACCCCATATCTGCTTCCGCCTGCCTTATAACGCTCGTCTATCATTCCTGTCGTACAGGCTGCAGCCTCTTCTTGCTTCTCCCATCCTTTTGCTCACCCACTGCCATCCGCTGCTCGCTTCATGACTGCCACGTTCGTATGCCCTCGATGTCTCTACCCCTCTCCTGCCCCCTGAGTCATGACACTGCACCCATCTCCTGCTCACATCGCCCTCTCTTCCACGCCCCACCACGCAGGAGTGGGTGCTGTTGCTGCGTGATGTGGCACTGCACATGGGTGCCACGTCACCAGTGGCGGAGCTGAGGTGTCTGGTGAGGGAGGATGACGTGGAGGCGGATTTCTTCCACAATCTCGTGCATCTGCAGACGCACCGCCGCGTGCGAGCGCTCTCCAAGTTCGCCGCCCTCTGCCCCACCGCACACTTCTCCCCGGTATGCCTCTCACTTATGGCTGAGCACCCATTCACACCATCAGTGCGTCAAGCTCTAGGCTGTGCCTGGCACACATCTCCCATGCCACCCCATTCCTCTTCACAGTGCTCCTCATCACTTTCCCATGGCATGCATGCACCCAGCCTCGCACCAACACCCCACTGTGTCCAGCCCCCAGCGATCTCTCCCTCTCACCACACTGCCCTGCAACCATTCGTCTCCTTCTCCCCTACCTCTCCCTTCCTCCCCCCACACCTACCAGGAGGTGCTACTGGAGGCGGTGGTACCAGCGCTGCTGAGGCAGCTGGTGGAGGGGCGGCCAGACAGTGAGAGCGGCGTGATCGACGCCACCATCGCCGCCCTCACTGCCATGGCCGCGCGCCTGCCGTGGCCCGCCTTCCACTCCCTGCTCTCCCGCCTGCTCGCCCTGCTGCCACGGCGCAGGGAGACGGGCGAGCAGTGGTGGGAGGAGAGTAAGGGCAGGGGTGGGGGGAAGGGCGGCGAGGAGGTGAGTGCGGCGGGGCAGCGGGCGATTCTGAGGGCCATCTGTGATGTGCTGGAGCAGGTCAAGCACGTGGTGGGGGTGGCGGGAGGGGAGGAGAAGGGTGAGGGTGAGGGTGAGGAAGAGAAGGGTGATGGGGAGGGTGCGGATGGGAAGGAGGGTGGAGAAGCAGGCGGGAAGGAGAGGGGCGAGGGGAAGGAGAGTACTGATAAGGAGAGCGAGGGAGGGAAGGAGGAGAGCAGGCAAGTCACAGCAGCAGAGGCAGAGAAGGAGGAGGCGGGGAAGGAGGAGGGGGGGAGAGAGGAGGGGGGGAAGGAGGAGGCAGGGGCAGCAGTGACGGCACGCATGCAGCAGGTGTTGTTAAAAGACATCATCCCGCAGCTGTCGAAGCACCTCGTGGCAGGCGAGGCGGGGCGCGAGGAGGTGAACTCGCACGTGGCACTGGCTGTGACGCGCACGCTGCTGCTGCTGCCGCCCGATGCCATCCGCTCGCACCTCCCCGTGCTGCTGCAGACCGTCGTCAACCCCCTCAAGTCGCGCTCACAAGGGACGAGAGACGCCGCCCGCGCAGCACTCTGCCAGGTGGCGGGCGCGCTGGGTCCGGCCTACCTGGGGTACGTGATCGGCGTGTTGCGCAGCGCGCTCACACGCGGGTTCGAGCGGCACGTGCTGGGCTTCACACTGCACGCGCTCCTGCTGCACGCTGCCACCACGTACGGCCGCACCATGCCCGCTGGTGCGCTGGACTACTGCCTGGGCGAGTGCCTGGCGGTGGCGGTGGAGGGGCTGCTGGGGCAGGTGGCGGAGGAGAGGGAGGTGGAGGCGGTGGCAGCGGGCGTGCGGGAGAAGCGGCAGAGCCGGTCGCTGGAGACGGTGCGCATCGCCGCCTCGCTCGTCAACGTGCGCCGCAGCACGGCTCTGCTGCTCGCCCCCATCCGTGCTGCCCTGCCCTCATCGCTGGATCCACGGGTGAAGCGCCACGTGCAGGAGATGGTGAGGCATATGGCCATTGGGCTGCTGGCCAATCAGCACGCGACAGCTGGAGACCTGCTGGTGCTGGTGCATGCTGTGCTGTGGGAGGGTGTGCGTGTGGAACAGGCGCATGCGGCAGCGGTGGCTGAGAAGAAGCGTTTGCGTGCTGAGGCGAGGGAGGGGAAGGGCGGAGGGGAAGGGAGGGGGGAGGAAGGAGGGATGGAGGAGGAGTGGGGAGAGGAGGGTGGGATGGAAGGGGAAGAAGCGGAGGGCAAGGGGGGAGGGCGGCGAAGGCGGAAGAAGCAGAAGGGGTTGGGGTTTGAGGGGCTATTGAACGGGCACGTGGTGGCGCTGCTGGGGCTGCAGCTGCTGCTCTCCCTCGCCTCGCACGACCGCCTGCCCGTCTCTGACCCCGCCCTCACGTCACGCCTCGACGCCCTGGTGCACCCGCTGTCCGTCACGCTCTGCTCGCGCCACGACGCCGTGCTCGCCGCCTCCTTCCGCGCGCTCGCCTTCCTCCTCCACCGCCGCCTCCCCTCCGTCGCCACCGTTGCCCCCCGCGTCGCCACGTCAGCGTTCAAGGTGGTGCAGCAGGCGGGGCGGGCGGCGGCGGTGGCGGGCGGCATGGTGCACTCGTGCCTGAAGCTGCTAGCGGTTCTCCTAGACCGATGCCCCGAGGTGAAGGTGGGCGAGGAGCAGGTACGAGCGCTGCTGGGCAGTGCAGTATTCACAGACCTCGAGCTGCCCTCCACTCGCACCACCGCCTTTGCTGTCCTGCGCGCTTTGCTGCGGCGGCGCGTGGTGGTACCAGAGGTGTATGACGCCATGGGGCGAGTGCAGCTGCTGCTGCTGCGCTCCCACACGCCCTCCGTGCGTCAGCTGAGCGCTGCCCTCCTGCTCGCCTTCCTGCTGGACTACCCGCTGGGCCCAGCACGACTGGAGGCACATGTGAGCTTCCTGATAGTGAACCTCCAGTATGAGCATCAGAGCGGGCGACAGGCCGTGCTGGGCATGCTGCGAGCCATCATCGAGGGATTCCCCTCCGTGCTTGTAGAGGCGCATGCAGATACCTTCTTCCTGCCGCTTGTCACGCGCCTCGTCAGCGATGAGTCAGCGCACGTGCGGCAGCTGGTGGCGCCGGTGCTCAAGGCGCTGTTCGTGCGAGTGAAGGCGCCCACGTGTGCTCGTCTGCTGCGCTTCGCGTCTGCCTGGCTGGTGGACCCGTCCCCCCAGCTGCAGCAGGCGGCAGCGCTGGTGCTGGGGGTGGCTGTGGAGGCGGTGGGGGTGGGCGGCGAGCAGGGCGGCATGGTGGGCACGTGGATGGGCGCTGCTGCACGGATTGTGCAGCGGGCGCAGGGAGGGGAGGAGGGGGGAGTGGAGGGGTGGAAGGGCGTGTATGCGTGTGTGGTACTGGCTGAGAAGGTGCTGCAGCGGGAGGGCGGGCAGGCGCACAGCAGCAGCATGCGAGGGCTGTGGCGACAGCTGCCAGCGCTGCTGCTGCACCGGCACCTCTGGGTGCGCGCTGCTGCCTGCCGCCTCCTGGGGGCCTACCTCTCCCTCGCCACTGCTGCTGCTGCATCCGCCGCTGCTGCTGGCGGTGGCGGTGGTGGGAGCAAGGGGGTATGTGGGGCGGAGGAAGAGGGGCTGAAGGCGGTGGTGAGGCAGCTGGTGGAGAGGGGCGAGCAGGACGAGGGGGAGGGCGAGGAGGCGCAGGAGGAGGGCGAGGGGCGGGGGGCAGGGGTGCAGGTGTGGCAGGTGCTGCTGCAGCCGTCGTACTTGGTGGTGGTGGTGGGGGTGCTGTGCCGTGTGCTGGAGAGCAACAGCAGTGACGAGCGCCTGGCACAGCACACCGTGAAGAACCTCGTTGCCCTCGCCCCCCTCCTGCCCCTCCTTCCCTGCCGTGCTGCTGATGGCGCTGCTGCTGGTGGCGGTGGGAAAGGTGGGATGAAGGGGGGAAGAGAGGGGGGATCTGGGTTGGTGGTGGAGTTAGATGGGTGTGAGATAGGGCGCGAGGGCAGGGGGCGGCTGAAACTGGGGTGGCAACTGCTGAGGGTGCGGAGGAGAGAGGGGGAGAGCAGGGGGGATGATGGCAGTGGTGGTGAGGAGGACGAGGAAGAGGAAGAGGAGGAGGAGGTGGTGGGAGAAGCTGAGGGAGGGGTGGAAGGGGGGGTTGAGGAGGAGGAGAAAGCAGAGGAGGAAGAGGAAGAAGAGAAGAGCGATGAGGAAACATACCTTGTCGACTTTGGGGACGGCAATGGTGTTGCTGCTGCTGCTGCTGATGTTGCTGGTGCGGATGCTGATATGCAAGCAACAGGTGCGGGCGATGGGACCATCATATTGGGTGAACCAGTAAGGGGGGACAGTGAGGGTGGCGCAGAGGGCAGTGGGGAGGCACGGGATGGGGTTGAGGCAGAGGAGAGGCAGCAGAGCGATGGGGAGGAGGGCGGTGCAGAGGAGCAGGTGGATGGGGAGGGGCAGGCCAATGGGGGCGACGTGACATCAAGGGAGGGGGGAAGTAAGGAGTCTGCTCGGCACATAGCGCTGGGAGCGGTGATGAAGGCGGTGGCACGGGTGGCATACCGAGTGAAGCCCATTCAGGTGCGTCCTCTCGTGTGCCGTGCCTTTTGCACGTTCCACATACTATCTCTCTTTTGCTTCCACCCTCCCCTCACTCCCCCCTCATCCCTCTTCCTTTCCCCTTTCACTCTTTCTCCCCACACATTACCCCCCCCGAACCCTTGCCCCATGCATGGCCCACACCAGACGGCAGCAGCGCTGCGGTGTGTGGCAGCACTGGCGACAGCGCTGGGAGGGGAGGGGGTGCGGCCATACCTGCCAGACATCATGCTGCCGCTCTTCCGCCTCTCACAGGGCTCTGCAGGCGCCGTTGTCCCACGTGAGCTTCCCTCCACACCTCTGCACCCACCCCTTTGCAACCCTCTGGGTGCTTGTTTCATGCCATGAGTGGCGGCTTGCGTACTGGTTGCGCGCCTTGCATGCCGTATTGTACCACTGCTACTTACACCCAACCACCATCCCCACCCCGCTTCTCTATTTTATTCCTCAACCTTCATCCCCCCTCCTTCACCCCCGTGCACGGCAAGCAGCGGAGGTGCAGGGCGTGGTGGGCGAGGTGGTGGAGCATGTGCGGCACGAGGTGGGTCCCGCCGCCTTCATCGCCGCCTTCTCTGCCGCCCGCCACACTGCCAAGCGGCGCGCGGCGGCGAGGCGGGAGGCGGCGCGGGTGAGCGTGCTGGTGGACCCTGAGAGGCACGCTCGCAGACGGGCAAGCCTGGCACGCAAGCGAGGCGAGTACAAGAAGAGGAAGAACCAGCAGCACCGCCGCAGCAAGATGCGGTGATGGGAGGAGGGAGATGGCTTTTGCATAGCCACATGTGTACAACTTGCGCTTTTGTGGGAGTATTGTTGCAAGAAGCAGCTTTTGAAAATGCAATGCTGTATTCAATTTCAGGGGTACACCTAATGAAATTAACACAAGAACGCTAGCGGATTGCCATGCAGCGTGTGAACTGTAAATTAACCTCTGATTACAAGCACTTGGCGGCACAGTGGCTGCAGCCGTGCAGCAGCAGGGCCGGCAGACGATTGCACGCATCTCCAGCTTCACCACAAGCTACACCTGGAGCTGCTGCATGTGAACCATAAATCAATACAAATATCACCCTAACAAGAAGCTACTAACAGAAAGCTACTCGATAAAGTAAGCGGCGGTGGTGTTGGGGGTGCGGGAGCCATCGGTGTGTCGGCACTGCAACGACAGGTCCACGTCCATGAGGCGGTGGTTCTTCTGGGACCGCCGGATGTGCATGGCGCCTGACACCTCATCGCCCTCGCGCACGTGCAGCGGGTGCGCCAGCAGGAAGACCTGCTGCCCCCAGTGCGTGGCCTCGTCCGCACTCGGCGCTGTCGTCAGCTGCACCTCGTGCTCTGTGGGGTCCGTCGCTGACCCCTGTGGGGGGAAGGGAAAGGGGGGGTTTGAGGGGGGAGGCTGTGAGGCGACAGGTGGGTTTGAGAAACGGGCGAGTGTGGGAATGGTGGTGACGAGCAGTCACTGGAGCACCCCATGCTATGCTCGAGGAGTCTAGGAAGACAGGATGGGTCGTTGCAAGCAGGGATATCTTAGTGAGCACATTGAACCAGCCCCACTCACCTTAAAGAGCACGTCAAACCACCCGCCGATGGCGTTGACGGGTTTATCAGCAGCGAAGGCGCGCGTGGTGAAGGTGGCGTTGACCTCCTCCACGTCAGCCACGGTGGCGGTGGCGCAGTCTATCTCGCGGATCATCACCGGCCGCCCCAACACCTGTGAGGGGTACAGCGACTCCCAACACCCTGTCTGCCAGCGGGCGGGGAGGGAGGGGTGAGGGGGGGAGTGAATGGTGCAAGGAATGGCAGTCAACAGGTTAATGGGGTGGGGGGAGGGAGCACGGGGGGATCGTGAGAGGGAATGAAATTGGGAGTGTGAGAGAAGGATAGGTAGAAAGAGAGCGAGGGAGCGAGACTGAAAGGTAGGGAAAGGGAGAGAGGGAACAAGAGAGGTAGTTGGGGGAAGAGGAAAGGGACAGAGGGAGTTGGGGGAAGAGGAAAGGGAGAGAGGGTGGTGGGAGCAGTACTTGGAGGAAGTACTTCTGCTGCTCGGCCTCGTACGACTGGTCCAGCACGGCCATGTCAACGCCATAGTCCTCCCTGGTGCTGCGCACGAAGCTGCGCCAGTCGCCCATGCTGCTGCGGAACTCCCCCATGCGCCCCTCCCACAGACTCGAGTGCACCGGTGCCACCCACATGCGCGCATGGCTTGGGAACCTGCACCAAACAGAGGGGCGGACCAGGGGTGGAATGAGCTGGAATGGTGGTGGGAGGCGGCAGAAGGGCGTGCGCGAGCATGCAGAGAGCTGAAAAATGCGCGGCCGAAGTGCCTGGCACAGTTCTCCTGAGAAAAGCGCTTCACTCGAAGTCCCTCTCCCCCATCTTCCCCAACCCATCCACAGGTTCAGTCCCGCAGCTCACCCAGTCCACACCCCCTTCCCCCCCTTTTCCCCCCTCTCCCCGCCCTCCCCCATCCCCCCCTGCCTCGCGCACGCACAGGGAGCCGCCCGGTTTGAGCCAGCGGTCGCGGGCGATGAGCACGGAGTCGAGCATGGACTCGCGCACCAGGAAGTACCCCATCCACTCGCTTATTATCACGTCCACTGCAAGCCCAGCCATGGGGGAGGGGGGGGGAAGGGCGGAGGAATGGCGGGGGGAAGGGGGGAGAGGGATGTGGGAGGAGGGGAAAAGGGAGGTGGGTGGGAGGGGGGAAAATATGAGGGGAATAGAGTGGGAGAGCAGGGGAGTGGAAGCAACGGAGGAATGCGTGTGAGGAGTGCTGGGGGGGACGAGGCAGCGGACATGCAAGGGAGCTGGAAGAGCAATTCGTCGCCTCCCTGAACAGCCCTCGTGCCGCTCCCACCTTTCTCGGGCAGCTGCACGTCCTCGACGCTCTCCTGCAGCACGGTGACGCGCTCCGCCACGCCATTGGCGCGCGCCAGCGTCTCCGCGTGCTGCGCCATGTCCGTCGCCTCAACCGCGTACACGCGCCGCGCGCCCGCCTGCGCCGCCCAGATCGCCAGAATGCCGCTGCCCGTGCCCACGTCCAGCACCACCTGCGCGCGCCGCACGGGGGGCGGGTGGGGGGACGGCGGGCGGGGTTTGGGGATGGCCAGCGGAGGTGTCGGATGGGAGCAGAGGCAGCACGGGAGAGAGTCTGGGTGCGGGGCGAAGGGGGCGGAGAACGCAGAGGCGACAGGGTTGAGGGTTCAGGGGACAGTGGCCGCTGCGTTGCGCGGGGAGTGCGGGCAGGCGCGAGAGTATGGCGAGCGCGGGGAAGCGGAGGTCGACGGAGAGAATTGGCCCAGCGCATTCGACCTTCTCGCGACGCCGCTGTGCGTGTGCGGTCGTGGAACGGGAGGCGGGAATCGATGAAGAGAGGAGGATGCAGGTGAAGGTTGAAGGCAAGGGGGTGGTGAGTGAGGGAAAAAAAAACGGGGGTTTGGGGAGGGGAATCGGGGAGGGAGTTGGTAATGCAGGAAGATCTGGATCTGACGGCCCACGGCAATGCCGGCACGGGTTAGTCGGGTGCAGGAGAAAAGGGGCCGCGCAGAACGACGGGTGGGTGATGTCTCGGAATTGAGAGTGCAGACCCTCATCATTTGGGAAGGTGAATCGGATCGCGATTCAGTAATGAAAAACGGCCGAATTTCACGGCCTTACAGAACTGCGACTCGATCTTATTGAGGCGTGCGCTTCGATCGCACCTTATCGACGAAGTGCGCCTTATTCTTCATGACCGCGTCGCGATACGCGTTCATCCGCACGCGGTCCGACAGCATGTCCTTCTGGTGGTACAGATACGCGTACGTGCAAAAGTAATTCGCAAAATCCGCCGCCTTATCCACTTGCGGCCGCCCGCCGCCGCCGCCTCTGCCGCTCATCGTGGCGGGCGCTGGGGATGCGCGGATGAAAGGCGCGACGGAGACGACGGTTGATGAAGACGAGGGGCCGAGCGCGAGCGCGACGGAAAAGGGAAGACCTTTGTATGCGAGGCGAGGAGATAGAGGCGAGAGAGAGGCTGGCCAGCCAAGCCCCGAGATGGTTGTGGTGAATGGCACGAGGCGATCCAGCAGCGTGCAGTGGGCTGGGAGCAGAGCAAGTGTCTCGCTCATTGACTGCTGATGAACGTCGCGCTTGTGATCGATCAAGTTCATTCGCACACCCGTTTCCATTCCCCGTGGACAGAAGGCTTGTACTCGACTCGCTATTGTCAAGGATTCGTGTTTTGATATTTTTCAGTGCACCTTATAGTTCTGGCTAGATTGGCAGAGAAATTGTGGCTGTTTATTCTTTGTGGCTGAAAGATATTTTTCATACATTTTACCTCAGGCTCCACTTTCGGTGGTGATGACATGGAGCGCAACGGGCTCGCGTCAAACCAGATCGGCGGGGAGATATCGAGAGGCTCAGGGCTGTCGTCAGACGAATAGCCGACGTGGAGGGTACTCAATGGCCGCGTATTTCCCAAGGTGACCAAACATTGCACTTTTTCGACGCCGCGCTGCCCTGCCCAGTCGAGAAAGCAATGCAAGCAGTCAGGCTGACCAATTTCCACGAACTCACTCGCAGCACAGTGGTCCCTCCCTCCCACAGCAACTCTGCCCTTGCGGGAATCGGGCAGCATGTGGCTGTGAGCGACGCTCGCCCAGCTTTCGCCCTCCTTGGGAAGAGGAGCCACGCCCCCCAGGGAATGGGATGGTGGTGATGGCAGGGAGCGGGGCAGGCGAGCGGTCGGGCAGCATGCCGAGTCAAGGGTGGGTCGCTGTGAGGCGGCGACCACGCGGAGAGGCGGTTGATGGCGACGGTCTGACGGCGTCCCTCGCAAGCAATCTCCATTCGCATCGACCCTCTCAACTCAACCTCCTCGGGTTTCTCGTCTCCTTGTCTAAAGCCTTGCCATTTTCCCTCAATAGCTAGATTCCCGCGATAATCCCTCGGACGATCCGTAGTGCGCACACGGCCCTGTCACATGACCGCGTCAGTAGCAGCATCAGTGCGAGCCGTCCCACCATGGCCACCCATCTCGTGCTTCACCGCACCCTAAGCTCCATGCACCTGTCCTCAACCGATCAGCGTCGCGACGCGTGCCGGCATGACGAGCCCTGCGCGGTGATCGCCGCGAGTCCCGCAGCCGCAGCGAGCAGCACGGCGACGATCGTGGAGCGCGGCGTGGTCTGCGAAGTGCCGCTGGACGTGCAGCGCGTCGCCGCGAGCTCGCCGTGGTCGTACGGCGCGATGGACGGCGACGACTGCTGGCGGCCTCCGCCGGGCGCGCGGCTGTCGGACGCGACGAGCGCCGACTTCCTCAAGCGCTGCGCCTTCTGCCGGCGGAGCCTGGAGCACGCTGACGCCTTCATGTACCGGTGAGCCCTGCGCGCGCCCCTCCGCAGTAGGCCCGTCCGATCTCCTTCCCTACTGGCGTTGCGGAATTGCTTTCGCTCATAGTTTTTTATGGATTTACACGGTTTTACATGGGTGCGTGCTAACCCCGTGATGGGTGTGCTGAGCGTGCAGGGGCGACAAGGCGTTCTGCTGTCTGGAGTGCAGGCAGCACCACATGATCGTACACACCCGCAAGGCATGGCTGCACCTCACCGGCCGCCGCTTCTCCATGGTGCCGCTTGCTGGGTAGCCCACTCACCAGTGGAGGGTGCTGTGGAGGGTGTGACATGGAGGTTCCTCGTCAGTGGCAGCTTTGCTGCACCTCTCGTGATAGGCATAAGCATACACTTACGGTACCGGTAGAGAACATCCCACCCATTCTTTCCATTCTTATCATTCTAGTTAGCTTAGATTCAGCCAGGTTTACCTGATTCCCAGTTTCTTAGTCTTAGTTCGTAGATAATGCCTGTATACGTGGTTAGAAAGTTGCTACAAAGACTCTGCTTCTAATCCATACACAACTCTAACGGAACAATCATGAAGGGAAACCTGTTGCTATGCTCTCAAAGAATGGTTGTCCCAGACATGGTATGTACGTAGTTCCATCAACAGCCTACTACTCATCCTTGTGCTCCGCCAGGAACTGCAGCAGCGCCTCGCGGGTGAGCTTGGCGACGGTGGTGCCGCGCTGCGCTGCCACCTCCTGCAGCCGCCCCGCCAGCTCATCGTCCACTGTGATGCGCCGCGCCATGCCCCGCTGCCTCGCCACTGGCGCCGTGTACGTGCCCATGTACTCCTTCATCGCCTCAAAGCCCTGCCAGCAGCACCACCACCACCACCAGCAGCAGCAGCAGCAGCAGCACACACAGCGACACTTGAAACGAGAGCATGGAGTGCACCAACTCGTATCGTATGTGGTCAATAAGGGCAGAGAACCACACTCGTGGCACAGCTATGCAGAAAGAGGCCCATGAGCACGAGGCAGACCACACCCAAGGGACAGTTCGCAACTTGTCACCCACAAAGCAGCACTCACCCTTAGAGCAACACTCGACCACCAGGCAGCACTCACCCACCCCCGGCGCAGCACTCACAACGCGGTTGGTGAAGTCCCCGAAGGACTCGCCCTTGTGGCCGAGCGCCTTCCACATGGCAAAGAGCGGCTCCAGCACCGCCTCCAGCTCGCCCACCTTCACCCTCTCCAGAAACACCCGCGCCAGCTTCGTTTGGTTCGGAGTGCCGCCCAGCCACAGCTGCCGGACACACATGAGGAGGGAAGGCGGGAAAGGAAAGAAAGCTTAGTAAGTCAGCGTAGGCCAGGCATGGAGGAAGCAGCATGGTGCACGACGAAGCAGTCGCCACCACTCATGCAGCTGTCAACACTGGGCACTCAGCATTTGTGTATGAATTGAAAAATACTGACCTGGTAGGAGTTGGCGCCGTCGCCCACGAAGCCCAGCTCGGCCACATAGGGCCGCGCACAGCCGTTGGGGCAGCCCGTCATGCGCACCACCAACGAGTGCGCCTGCTGCTGCCTCAGCCCCACCTGCTCCGTGCTCACATGCCACCCCATGCCATGCCAAGCCATGCCATGCCATGCCAACCCATGCCATGCCATGCCATCCCATGCCATCCCATGCCATGCCATGCCATGCCATCCCATGCCATGCAAGGCAACAAGAAAAGACCAGGCACAATACACGGCAGTGCAAGGCAAGGACTTTAGACCGTACGCAGAAGGTTCCACGTGCTCTCACACACAACAGCCACACGGTCCCATAAGCCCTGACTGATCTTCCTTCACTCATCCTCTCGCCCCACCATCTCCCCCACACCTCCGTTATCCCCACTACCACAGCTCCAGCACCGGGCCCAAAACGCCCCCCTCCCCCCCCCCCACCTTGTCGAGCATGGCGCGGATGCGCTTGAGCACGGCGGGCAGCCCCCTCTCCGCCTCCGTGATGGCCAGCCCGCACAGCGGCAGTGCCGGGCACGCCATGGCCGTCAGGTTCAACGGATCCACGTACTGCTTGCCCTGTGGGGTCGCACGGGGTGGGTGCAGGGGGGCAACACGGGCAGACAACGGTTGTGGCACGGACCGACACAGGAGTGTAGTGGAGCAGGGCGTGCATGTAGGTGTGCATGTAGTTGCGAGTATGTGGGGAGAGGGGATGAACGAGGACTCTTTCATGCCTCAACAGGATGCCCCCTCCCCCCTCACCATGCCTGCCTCCTGGCCGCACCAACATGCCCCCCCTTCCCCATGCACCCTTCCACAGGTTTCAACTTCCCCCATAGCCTGACCTCTCTTAAATGCACCCCCTCTCCCCATGCGCCCACAATCACAGCATGCCCCTCTTCCCAACTCCCCTCGCCCCTCCCCTTCCCTCCGCCACACACAAGGATGCCCCACCTCCCCTCTCCCCCCCCCCCCCCCACGGCACTCACGAGGATGCCGACAGCGGCGAGCTCCTGGGTGATGCGGGGGCGCCACGCCTTGCGCACGTCGCACAGCATCAGGTTCTGATTCGCCGAGATGCGCACGGGCAGGTTGTACTTTTCAATCACTGCCCGCAGCGCCTTCTTCGCCTCGCCCTTGATGCGCCCATTCTCAATGTGCAGCCCGTAGTACAGCCGCCCGTCGCCCTGCCACGCGGTGCAGTGCGGTGGGGTCGATTGGGGTGTGGTGAAGCGTGTAACAGAGTGGCGAGTGGGGGGGAATGGGCTAGGTGACCCAGGCTCACGTGAAGTTGATTGCAGGTACAACCACGCGATAATGTGCAAGCGAGAAGTCAGATGGGGGGTGGGCAGGGGCAAGGGAGGGTGTCAGCACTGCAAGAGCTGCACAGAGCTGACCCCACAGCACAGCACAGCACAACACGCGTTCTGCTCACGGAGTGCAGCGCGTCTCACCTGCTCGCCCCAGCCGACGTAGGGCTTGGAGTGCCATTCGGGCAGGGGGCGGAAGGGCTGGAACTGCTTGCCGAAGTACTGCTCCGCCACCGTGCGGAAGCGGTCAATGCCCCAGTCGCGGATCAGGTACTTGAGCCGCGCCTGCGCGCGCAGGGGGAGGGCAGGGAGGGAGTAGGGCGTATGGGAGGGGATGCGGGCAGGAGCACATGGCAGAGAGTTGATGGATGGGAGAGTGACAGAATGCGAGCGGGGAACGCAACCACTGCAAGGATGATAAGTGCCCCCCTTCCGTTCCCTTCCTCCATCCCCTCCACCATCCATGCTTGCAGGATCCCACACCCCTGCCCCTAACTCCTCGTCTTCCCCCCTCGCCCCCCCACCTCTTCCCCATAAACCCCCTTCTCCCCCTCTCCGCCCCACCTGTTTGCGGTCGTCGCGTCGCCCGTAGTCGCGCTGCGTGGCGACGATGGCCTTGACGGCGTAGAGCACGTCCTCCGCCGCCACGTACCCCAGCGGCTCCGCCAGCCGCGGCTCCGTCTGCTCGTTGCGGTGCGACCGCCCCATGCCGCCGCCCACCTGCCATGGCGCAAGGCGCAGGGGAGGCAAGGAGAATGCGGGGAAGGGGGACAGAGAAGGGAGCAGGGTTGGGTTCGAGGAAGGAAGTAGTGTTGAAGCCTGCACATGGCACTCCTGCTACACTCACTCGCGGACCCCATTCCATAAGCGAGCTCCACTGCCGGCAGCGCCCCTGCCAGCCCAGCTGATCAACTCTCCCACACGACCGCCTGGCACCACCAACTCCGTACACCCTCCTCCCTCCGAAACCCAACACCCAAATCCCGAAATTAGAACCTCGAACCGTGAGGCGCGCGCAGCACAGTACTCACATAGATGTTGAATCCCTGCAGCTGCGCCGTAGCATCATCACAGAACCCGACGGGTCCGAGGTCGTTGGTGAGCATGTTGTGAGTCGACTCAAACCAGTACTCACGTAAATGTTGAATCCCTGCAGCTGCCCCGTGGCGTCGTCACACAGCACGACGAGCCCGAGGTCGTTGGTGAGCATGTTGTGAGTCGACTCAAAACAGTACTCACATAGATGTTGAATCCCTGCAGCTGCCCCGTGGCGTCGTCACACAGCACGACGAGTCCCAGGTCGTTGGTGAGGATGTCGACGGAGTTATCGCCGGGCACGGTGATGGCGATCTTGAACTTGCGCGGCAGGTACTGTGTGCCGTAGATCGGCTCCGCGCTGCCCTCTATGTTCGTCCCGAACCGGTTGTCCGCGCGCGCCTCCTCCACGTCCGCCGGCGCCTCCGCCGTCAGCACCTGGCGCGGAGAGGGTGCGCGCGAGGCATGGCGGGGGGAAGGAACATGAAGGCAAGAAGAGACTGCCTCCTTTAGAAATCACCGCCTCCCTTAGAAGCATCATCAGTTCCGCTTCAGTAATGCTTTCCCATCCCCCTACAACCACGCAGGACCCACGCGCATGCACCCTTTCCCCCCATTCCACCATCTGCGCCATTCCTCCATTCGCTCATTCCCCCCATTTCCCCCATCCCCCTCATGCGCCCCCATCCCCCCTATGCGCACCTTCTCGCCATCGAGCCACACGTCGTAGTAGGCGCCGGACTGCGGCTCGAGCAGCGCGGCGATCTTATCGGCGTACTCCTGGCAGTAGCGGTACGCGGGGCGGTCGACGAACGGCACCTCGGGCGCCAGCACGTTGCGGTTCAGGTCGCCGCACGCGCCGAGCGTCGACCCCATGCTCTTGATCACCGTCGCGAACACCTCCTTCAGATTCGCCTTCAGCACTCCGTGCAGCTGCGCGCGCGCAGCGTTGGAGGGGATGGGGCAAAAGGGGTGGGGGGAAGGGGGGGGGGGGGGGGGGAAGAGGCGGGTTGGGAGGTGCCGAGCGGAGATGGGGGCGCATACCTGCAGCGCAAACGGCGCGCACAGACTCGCAGCGTGAAGTGGCGGGAGGCGGGGAGTAGCGGGAGGTGGAGAGCACCAAGTCGTTGGGGATACCGGGAAGCGTGGCGCGGAGCGCACCTGGAAGGTCTGGCGCGTGGTGAGGCGGAGCGCACCTGGAAGGTCTGGCGCGTGGTGAGGCGGAGCGCACCTGGAAGGTCTGGCGCGTGGTGAGGCGGAGCGTGCCGGAGCCGAACTGGTCGGCGAGGTCGTCCATGGCGAGGTAGAGGCGGTTGTGCACCTTGCCGCCCGGCTGCCGCGTGCGCATCATGAACTGGTACGCGCGCCCGCCGCCACCCTGCCGCGCCTCGCGGTCGTCCTGCATGTAGCTGCCGTGGAACTTGATCAGCTGCGCGCACCGCGCGCACGAGGGGGAATCGCAAGAGAAGCGCACAGGCGCACAGAGGCAAAGCAGGGGGGAACACACGAATTTGTCGCAATAAGGAGGCGCAGACGATCGTAGCACGTCAGTGACGAGCCGTCAGTCGAGAATATCAACGGCAACTCTCTCTGAAAATCAGTCGCAGTATGGCATCAGTGCTTCCGTTAAAGAAGTCGTCAGTGCTGTGGTCAGATCTGCATGGCGGGAGTGCTGTCGGACGCACAGGGGCGCACGAGGCACGGCAGGCAGGATGCGACCGATCGGGAGGCGCGCCTGCTGGGAGGCGGCGCGACGCACCTGCTCGGAGGCGGCGCTGACGTTGGGGAGGTCGTTTTTGAGGTCGTCGATGAGCGGGTAGCGCAGGTAGTCGCTCTCCTCCTTGTATATCTCCACCTTGCTCCTCTTCGCCGCTCCCGCTGCCGGCGCCTGCACGGGCTGTGGACGGCAGCCATGCACACAAGACATGCGGACGTGACATGCAGGCACGCATTCACGCAAGGCGCTAAAAAGCATGAATGCGTGTGATGGACGCGAGGCACACGGGCAATGACGGAGTATGGAGTTTGTGTCGAGAGAATGACGGATGCCATCAACCGACAAGCTTCTCATGGCGTAACAACCCTCTCCATGTCAAAAGGACGGATCTTGCCGAAAGAAAAATCCAAGAAAATGTTTACATCTCAGCTAAGAGAATGTAAAATTAGAGTGTAAACGCATGCAGCATGAGCGGCCTACAGTGGCGGTGGCTTGAACACGGCCCGGCGATGGCGACGCGCCTGCCGATGGAGCGGCGGACGCGACGACGGTGGATCGGTCATTGCGGGCGGCGCGCAGCCCGTCGAACGTCGCGAACTTGGCGGAGGCGGACGTGAGAGCCGCTGTCGCCATGGCGGGCGTGCGGCGGTGGTAACCAGGCGCGGGGTATAAGACCAGGGAAGGCGCCCTGTCCCAGCAGCGTTAGCGAGTCAAGTCAGCAGGGGCGGACCAGATGAGATGGGAAAAGGAGGGGAATGCGAAGAACAAAGGTCCAGCCTTGAGAAAGGTGATGGCTCTGGTGCAAGGAAGAAGGAAATGAGGGATGGGCCAGGTGAACGGAACGGAATGGGAAGAGGGATAATGTCGAGGGATGGCGAGGGATGGCCCTTGAAAGTGCCGAAAGGATAATGTCGAGAGCCGAGAACGGCGGAATGAACGGCGGAGATCTGAAGATGAACCAATCAAACCGTTTTACGTGAGCCTGAGATACTTTTGAAGGCGTGAGGCCTGGTCGTCAGAAATTGGGGCTTCACTTCGCGGATAAATCTTCACGAAATATACGCGTGTACGCGGTCTCATTACTGTACAGTTCTTGAGGTTTTGTTGGAAACAGTCGTATAGGCCGGAAGGGAACGAAACATTTGTTTCATAGGCGAATGGATTCATAGGGACTGAATGGATGCAATTCTGCAAATCACTGTTGTGGTTTTCAAGGCGTGGAATCCAGCCACTTCTGTGCCATTCGTGCTCCGCGCTCTCCACCCAACCAAGCAGCAGTCCATCCATGGCTCCCACGTCCCCTCTCGATCGCTTCATCGTCGCACGCCTTCATGCGAACGCGACGGCTCGACATGCGACGGTGCTGCTGGTCGGTTGTGATGAGCCTGCCGTCGCAGCCGTCGCCAATGGCATCGCCGCCAGCGCCATCTTCCGCGATGCTTCCCTCTCTCAGGTCGCCTCGCGCATTCCGCGTCTGCCTTACATTTTTTGTACCTTCCTTCTTTCCTTCCAACTTATATTATTTCCCGTGCATTTACTCGCTATTTCGCCCCTCTCTCCCCCCGCAGCCTGGCGCATCTCTCTGCGTAACCGAGCGGGTTGTCAACCCGCCCCCCTGCGCGCTACCATCGCCGCCGCCTGCTTCCGCCCGCCCGCGCACGAAGCCGACGCCCTCGCCGCGGCCATGCGCCTCCGCCACCACCTGCTGAGCGCCCGCCCTGCTGACGTCATTGTGTTCGTTGGGGGGAACGCGGAGAGGAGCGAGGCGGAGGGGCTGGTGATGCGCGCGGTGGGCACGGCGCTGGGGGCGGGCGTGTGGGCGCACGCGGTGGTGGTGGACGCGGGGAGCGGGGGAAGGGAAGAGGGCGTATCCGCGGAGGGGGCGGAGGCGAGGCGGGCAGCGCTGGAGGAGGCAATGGGAGCGGAAGCGCGGCGGGGCGTGCCGTGTGTGGCGTGGCGGGCGGAGTACGGGGAAGCTGCGGAGGCGCTGGGGGACGCCATGGCTGGCGTGGTGCGCGCCACAGCTGCTGCTTTCTTCCCCTCGCCCCTCCCCGCGCACGCCAACAAAGACGCCCCGCCCGCCCTCGACTTTGATGACCTGGCAATGCTGTCAGACCACAACATTGCCACGTCAGCTGCGAATGGCTCTCACCCGCTCGCCTCACCGTCGGCCACCGCCGCTCCCGAGCCCACTGCGCCCGCTCCCTACCACCCCTCCCCCACTGTCGATCCCACCCCTCCCTCCGCGCCTCTGCCTGCTGCTACCCCCTCCCCCCCTCCCCCCCCCCGCCCTCCCTGTTCCTGCCTTCGCCTCTCTCTCCCTCGCCCTCTCCGCCTCTGCCCTCTCCCCTGCAGGCCCCCCACTGCTGTTTCCCGCCAGCCGCCCCCCGTCCCTCTCCCCCTCTGCCCCGCTCGTCCGCCCTGCGGCCTCCCCTCTCGCCCGCCTGACTGCTGTGTCAGCCGCGCGCCCCGCACTCTCCTTCCAGACCAAGTGCCTCACGCCCATGCCTGTCATGTCGGCTTGCCACGTGGCAGCTGTCAACGGGCTGGCTGCTGACGTGTCACCCGCACATGCAGCTGTGGGCCCCGCGAAGCAAGCAACGGCGTTTCCTGATCTGATGCACCTGGGACGGCAGGCGGGCAACACCTGGTAAGTAGCACCTGGCACGGCAGGCTGGTAAAACGTCATCCATCTAACTTGTTCACTCTCCACGTACCTTCTCATTCCCCCCCTCTTCGTCTCTCGCATGGTTCGTTCAGTGTCGCTCCCTCTGCCCCTGCCGTGCCTCTCACGCCTCCCTGCACGCCCATCAGTGACCCCAAGGGAGCGGCGGGGGCGCACAAGACAGTGGTGCAGTGGTTCCGCAACGACCTGAGGCTGCACGACAACGAGGCGCTCGCTGCCGCCCACAACCACGCTGCCGCTGTGCTGCCCGTCTATTGCTTCGACCCGCGCGACTACGGTCCGCCCTTCTCTCCCCCCCCCCTCCATCTCACCTGCTTTTTTCTCGCTTTCCCTCTCCACTTGACTGACGCTTCTGCATGGTTCACACTTCCATCTCTCACTTCTCCTCCTCCCCACCACGACCTTGCATCCCCCGTTGCCACTGCCCCTCTGCCCACCCCCTTTTGCCCGCCTCCCTCTGCCCGCCACCCCTGGGCCCGCATGGCTGCGTGCAGGCAAGTCGGCGTCGGGGTTTGACCGCACGGGGCCGCACCGCGCGCGCTTCCTGCTGCAGTGCGTGGCGGCGCTGCGGGCGGCACTGCGGGAGCGCGGCAGCGACCTGGTGGTGCGCGTGGGGCGGCCTGAGGACGTGCTGCCCCGCCTGGCACGTGCAGTGGGGGCGCAGGCCGTGGTGCTGCAGCAGGAGGTGACGCCCGAGGAGAGCCGCGTGGAGGCTGCTGTGGCTGCCCGCCTCAAGGTGGGATGTGGGAAGAAGTGGAACGTGGGGGAAAGTGAGATGCAGGTTGAATGGTAGCATGCACAGTAGGGGAAGAGAAATGCCAATAAGCATGTGTGAATCTTCTCTTGGCAAGTGCATGACCGTACACTCAACCTGCCGTACATCCTTCATGTGGATATGCGTGTGTGCATTTGCGGACGTGTGTGTGTGTGAGTGCATGTGTGTGTGTGTGTGTGTGTGTGGTGGCGGGCATGGCAGGAGGAGGGCGTGGAGGCACAGACGTATTGGGGCAGCACGCTCTTCCATGTGGACGACCTGCCCTTCGCCCTGCCCCACATGCCCTCCAACTACAGCGCCTTCCGTCAAGCCGTCTCCCGCATCCAGGTCTGCACTGCACCACAACTCCCCTTGCTTGCTTTCTCTTACACTCTCTCTCTTTCTTCTTCCCCCCTGGCTCTCTCGTCACATGGTAACTCAAACCTGGATTGCGGTCTCCGTGTTCAACCCTGTGATGGCGGTGGCTGGTGCTGTGGTTGCTTCACCAGGTGCGGGACATGGTGGAAGCACCGGAGCACCTCAAGCCCATGCCTGTCATGGGCAACGTGCAGCCGGGGGAGATTCCCTCTCTCGAGGCCCTTGGTCTCTCCGCCATTCACCCTCCCACTCAGGTAACTCCTGAGGCTGGCACCTCATTAAGGTTCCACATGCCCACTTTGCTCTTCCTCGCCTCTTCCTTTCCTCCCTTTTTCTTTATTTACGAATTATCCACACTCACGGTGAGCCTTGTTCTGTGTATGTTTGTGTCAGAACGCTCACATGACCTCGATGCAGGGAGGGGAGGCGGAAGCTCTGCGCAAGCTCTCGGGCTTTGTTGCGGAGTCCAAGTCTGCCGCTGCTGGTTCCAAGGCCACGGCGCCCAGCAGCGGCCAGTACGGGGCGAGCTTTTCATGCAAGATCTCTCCGTGGCTGGCCATGGGGTGCCTGTCCCCTCGCCGCGTCTTCCACCAAGTGCTGCAGCTCGAGGGCTCTCTCGCGCACCAGCTGGCAAGCAAGCCAGCAGCCAAAGCCAGGTGTGTGCATGGACAGATTACCGTTAAGGGGAAATGGGCATGTATGTGGCGCATAGCTGTGAATGGGAGGGATGGGTGTAATTTCTTGGGTTCAACTGCTTCACGAGGTTTCAAGCGCTGTCATCCCTGTGCGTGCACCCCCTTCAGGTTGACTGGGCCCAAGGCAGCCACTGCCACAGCTGCCAAGGAACCGAGCATGGACTGGCTGGTCTTCGAGCTTCTCTGGCGTGATTTTTTCAGGTACGGTATTGCTGTCTGACTCTCAAGAAGAGCATTTTTTTCTTACGCTAAAGTACAGCAGCGCTTGTGTTTGTTGGACGGATGGTCACATGGGTTGCACAAGCGTCCTGTGCGTCCCCCTACCCTACTTGTCCCCTCGCCTACCAGGTTCATCACGAAACGCCACACTCTGGGGACACCTTCACTCTCACCAGTGCTCGCATAGTTTTTTACTTCAGTCAGCAATTGACTTGCAAGTTGTTGATGGATTTCTCAAGATTTTTTTCTGGCACGGAAGCCTTCTGCCAAAAAGGCACATGCAATTTCTAGTTATGATGACTGCTGCAGCAGTAGGTATGAGAAGAGAACATGCTGTAAAGCAGAATGGATCTCATTTTCGTAATTCAAGCTGCTAGCAACACTGGCTACAAGATGAAGTCCAATGCTAGTCTAACGACCATGGATTGCATTGCATGGCACGTCTCTGACCAATACAGGCAGGATGACAAGGGTTGGCAACAGTGGAACCCCTCTACTTGCCTACAGAAAGTAAGAAGTACAGTAAAGAATTTGAGCCCACGCCCCTCATACAAAGAGAGGACATCCGTATACGCCCCCCTCCCCTCCCCTTAGCATCCTTCGGGAAAAATCTACTTGATGTACTGCGAAAGCCACTTAATGCCCTCACCATATCCCATCTTACGCACCACACTGCACATAAAGACTTCAATCGGTCTGATGTTGGACTCTGCCAGATTTACCTTGCCCTTCCCTGTCGTGTAGTTAGTCAGACCCAGAGAGTAGCGAAGCTCATCTTCGGATGCGGCAGTTGGAATGTCGATTTTGTTTCCCAAGATCAGAAACGGCACGAGCGCCAGAGAGTCGTCTGAAAGTAGTCCATCGAGTTCCTTCTTCGACTCGATGAATCTCTCCTTATCAGCAGCGTCGACGAGGTACACTATGGCATCCACCTGCGGGGAAGACAGAAATAAATCGTTCAAAGACTACCACGGAGACTACATCTGGAGACGAGTAACAATAGATAACTGTGAATCCACTGACCTTCGCGTAATAGTCCTTCCAAACGCGTCGGGCTATCTGATGACCACCAAGATCAAACGCCTTGAACTTGATCTTCCCGATACTCAGTTCTTCCGAAGTTGGATGCTGTGTTGGCTGATGCTGAGCTAGTCTCTGCACCGACAAACCAGCATGAAGAGATCACCTTCTTAAGCAGCATACAAACAAAAAATGGATCAAACGTCATTGAGAAAATTCTCCCGTGATCACCAATAGATTCAAGCAGCTCCACTAACTCACCTCATCCTTCAACATATGCAGCAAGGTGGTCTTTCCGGCATTATCTAACCCCAAAAACAATATCTTCGCCTCTTTCTGCCATAGACCGAGCGTAGCTAAAACGCTATAGAACCAGTCGACTAAGAACATGTTGACCTGACACTAGTCTCGAACGAACAAGATCCCAAAAACCTGCTCAAATTTCCTAACTACGGAAAGCTGGGATGGTGTGAGAATGCTGTCTTGGCTGTTTCGTGTGTACGTAGGTCTGTGCGACGTGTGCGACCGTTGCCCTGATGTATGGGGTTTCGCGCCACTCATATCGCAGCAACAGATCCCCGCAATGGCCGAACAGCTCGGAGGGCAAAAGCAGCACTGTATAAGGGAAACCGTCGCTAACAAGTACAAGCCCATTTGTTTCACAAAATTGCATTACACTGATGCACAACCCACTATAATCACGTGGGTACATTACTTTCCACATATTATTTGGAATTCTTGCGTACCGTACTAATACGTGTAGGGAAGATGCTGGGGCTGGCCCAGCTTCTAATAACACTACGAACATTACAAGGGATGGATGTACGAGGAGGCTAAGGCTACAGCGGTACCTAAACAGCAATGTCATGGTTACGTGCCAATCTCAAGGATCTTGACAACAAAGGAGTCGCCGAGCTTTTGCACGACGACGACGCGGTCATGGGCGCGCATGAGGCCCATCTCCCTGCCCTTCTCCATCGCCATCTTCAGCACCGTCTCGTTCGTCGTGATGTTGCTCGCCGACTGCCACACACACGCACGACACCGCACAGGTGGTGGGAGAAGGAATCACGCAGGTGGTGAAAGAACGCTGAGGGAGAAAAAGAGGACACAAAGGGAGCACTGGAGCAGGGGGCTGGTGGAATAGATTAGGAAACAGAGCAGGGAAGCAGGAGTGCAGCGGGGCATGCAGGGTGGGCGGTACCGGGTTGCGTGGGTCGGCGAGCATGGGGAAGAGGCCTCGAATGGCGAGGCACTGGCGGGCCTGGAAGGCACCAGTGAAGCTCCACTTGAGCTGGTTGGTGCTGAGGCGCGGCACCACCACCACGAGCGTGGGCATGGTGGGCTTGTACTTGGCCACCAGCCTGCCATGCACCCACCACAGTGCCGCGTCACAACAACACAAGTACTCGCCAACCCACAGGCCATGCAAGAGTTCTGAAGGAATGCAACCTGAACAAGTGCGTGACAGGGCAATGGTGTGGTGTGATGCATGATGCGGTGCGCATGGTTGGTGCGTGTGGGGCAGCACACTGGAGGGCAGGGCTGACCTAGCTGTGCGGCCTGACGACGTGAAGACCACGATGGTTGACGCGCGCACCTTCTCAGCCGCACGCACCTGGTGGGACCAGCACCACAGAATCCAAGGGCACAACCACACGACACAACTCCAGCGAGCGGGTGAGACATGGAGAGGGCAATTTGCTGCAGCAGCAGCGGTCCAAACAGGGCGAGTTATGTTGGGGCCCAGCACAAACGACAGGTCTGAGGTGCGACGACAAGCACCACGCATGCACATGCATGTGCTATGTGAGTGCGCTCGGCAACAAGGTGGTGCGGTGGAGGGTGTGCGCATACCGCAGAGGAGCAGATGGATTCGATGTGGCTCATGGGCTCGCCCACGTATTTGACCGTCTTCTTGAAGTAGAGCTGCTGGTTGTACACCTTCTCCGCCTGGCCCATGCATGAGGGGGGGGGGGGGGGGGGGGTGTATATGAGGAAGGCTGACAGTGCATGAGTGTGTGCCTGAGAAAGTGGTGTAGTGAGAGGACAGCAAGAGAAAGCACCGTGCAGCATGGCATGGCAGCACGGCAGGGCACGGTACCTACCTCAGCGCAGATCTTGCGAACGGTCATGACGGTCTCCACGGGGTACAGCCCTCGCAGCGTCTCCGCTCCCAGCAGCACCGTGTGCGTGCCTGCATCGCACACCACACCACACCGCACACAGCACAGCAGCAAAACCACAAACGTGGTGTGTGGGGGAGACTATGCACCAGTTCCAACAGGAAAAAAAAAAAAAAAACACACACACACACACACACACACATGTGTGTTTGACAGCAGCCTATGGCCACTATTCCACTTTGATCGGCACACTGAAGTACGATACGGGGTGCATCGCGGGTGCACGGACCATCAAGCACGGCGTTGGCAACGTCGGTGGCCTCGGCTCTGGTGGGGCGCGGCGTGTCGGTCATGGTGTCCACCACACGCGTGATGATGGACGGCTTGCCCGCCATGTTGCACTTGAAGATGGCCGCCTTCTGAAACAGAAACACCTGCGCCCCCCCGCACCACGGGGACCAATGCAAGCAGGGTGTGGCGCCGTGGCACATGCGACAAAGACGCACGAGATACGCGATGAGGGTTGGGATAAAACTGTAGCAACTAATCACGAAGTATGGCAGCTGAGGGTGGAAGAGACAATGGTATGGGTGGTGAAGGTAGTGTGTTGAGGGTATGGGTGCTGGTGCTGCACTCTGATTGTTACTGTGATCAAGGGGGTGAGAAGCCACGTTAGTGCGCGCTGCTCTCGAGGCCGTGACAGGAGTCCTGCACCCACCTTCTCTGCTGGGAGGTCAATGCCCAGATCGCCTCGTGACAGGATGATGCCGTCTGCCTCCTGAAGGATCTCGTCAAAGTGCTTCAATCCCTGCTCACACACAACCGCACACCCAGCACTGAGACACAGTGAACGAACAACAAGGGTATCAGCCGTAAACACAAACCAACGGGTGAAATGTAGGGGGCCGTGGGATGGCATGGGAGAGGGCGAGGGCGATTTAGAAATGGGAATTAGCAGGGCTGGAATAGTGGGTGCAGCTGACCTCCATGTTTTCAATCTTGGCATAGATCTGCGTCTGAGAGAGATCGCCCAGCTTCGACAGCAGCGCTCGGGCCTGCTCAGGTGACAGAGAATGAAACAGGATGGGAAGAGAGGGCAAGAAGAGCAACCCCAGCCCCAGCACACAAACAAATGAGTAGGAATACATGCCACTGCTCCTTCCCTCACCCCTGAAACAACAACTGAAGTAGCAATTGAGACAGCACCTGAGGTAGCACCTGAGGCAGCACCTGAAGTAGCACCTGAGGCAGCATGTGAGGCAGCATCCAAGACAGCACTTAAAAGAAGCACCTGAAGCAGCAGCAGCAGCAGCAGCAGCACCTGGCGGACGTCGTCAGCGTGGCGTGTGAAGGAGAGGGAGATGATGTCAATGCTGTTGCGCTGCCCCCACGTGGCAATCAGCCGCTTGTCCTCCTCCGTCAGCGTCGGCAGGTCTATGCGCACCTGTGCCGCCCAGGGGCGCGGGCGATGGGCGGACAACACGGGTGACATGAGGGGAGTGGAGACGAGAGGACAACTAGGGAACGGAGTGAGGGAGGAGAGAGAGGCTGGTGGAAGCACGAAAAGGTGGGGATTGGGGAGTGGGTAGAGGGGAGAGAGGATGGTGGAGAGGATGCAAGTAGGAGAAGAACTACGAATCCTGTAAATTGAAGCAAAGCTCGAGGAAATGGGATGGGGACGCGGTACGGGACAGGGATGGGATGTTGATGGGAATGGGGATATGCAGCAACGCTATAGGCGAGATCACCAACCTGTGCCACGTGGGCCGTGAACACAGTGCCTGCCAGCGTGGCACTGTTCTTGACGAAGCAGATCACATCAGCGCCCTTCGTCTCGTGGACCTGGTAGCATGGCGGCACGAGCACGTGGGCAACACAAGGTGAGAATGAATGCCTCTGCACACCGGCAAGACTTGCAAGCCACAGTGACAGCAGAGCAGACATGGGCACATCAGAGGGAGTGCATGCAAGGTAAGGAAAACGAGAAGCAAGCAGCTTATCAGAAATGGAGAGAGGCGCGGGCGAGGGCAAGGACGAGGACGAGAACACGGCTAGGGAGGGTGGCGAGGGCGAGAAAGCGGCTAGGGAGGGTGGCGAGGGTGAGAGAGAGCAAGGGCGGAGGAGGTGCACCTCGAGCCAGACGGAGGTGGTTTCACTGCCCGTGAACAGGTACTGCCCCACGAAGATCTCATCTCCCGGCTTCACTGCCTGCACGCGGCGCCACAGAGACAGCGTGCAGTGAGAGTGCGTTTGCAGGAAGTGGCGGAATGCATGGGCGCATGTACGTGTGTGCAACGGTTGCACGGGAGCAGGTGGGTGTGAGTGGGAGCACCGTTGGCCGGAGGGATGAAGGGCTTGCAGCAAGTGAAGGCAAGGCATACCTACCTTGGCGAGGCATACCTACCTTGGCGAGGCATACCTACCTTGGCGAGGCATACCTTGGCGAGGCCCACATACCTTGGCCGCGAGGCCTACCTTGGCGAGGCATACCTTGGCGAGGCATACCTTGGCGAGGCCCTTGAAGTTGATGGGGAGCAGCTGCGAGGAGATGGGCGCGGCGGAGGGGTTGGGCGTGATGGTGATGGAGTCGCCCGCCGTGAGCGAGATGGCGCTGCCCGACGCGTTGTGGATGGTGATCTCCGGCCCCATGGTGTCAAACATCACCTGGGAGCCACGGCACCGCGCCCCGCACCACGAGGTGAACCAAGACGGCCACACAACGACCACAAATGACGATCACACACAACAATCACACACGATGACCACACATGACAATCACACACGGCGATCACACACAATGGCGAGGGTCGACGTTGGCAGGGAGGGAGAAAGGAAGAGGCTAAGAAACCGCCACAGGACGCAGACACCCACAAGTCGAACCTCCAGCATCGAGAAAGACGGCATAAACGAGGGCCTGGTGGGGTGGCTCATGGGTGGCACAAGCAACAGTGTGGAATGTAAGGTACTGGAGTCAGCGAGGGCGAGGTCAGTGTGAACGCGGTTCTGTGGAAAAAAATCGGCGTGAGGGACCCTTACCGCACAGAGCTTCTTTGTCTTGCGCATGGCCGCGCGAAGGTTGTCCAGTGTGGTTTGGTGATAGTCCGAGTCCCCATGCGAGAAGTCGAATCGCGCGACTGCGAGCACGGGAATTAGCGCAACACGTGGGGAGAGGGAGCGAGATGACGAGGCTTGGCAGAGCCAGCAGGGAGACGGACGATGGCAGCGCGGAGCGAGAGGTCCGTACCGTTCATGCCGGCTTCGAGCAGCCCTTCCAGCACCTCAACGCTCTGGCTCGTCCCACCAACGGTCGCAACGATCTTGGTCAGACATGGCAGCGACTTCTGCGGAGCATGATCGACATCGGGAAAACACACATGACGATGCAGAAAAGTTCCGAATGATCAGAACCGCCGAGTCCATCGAAAAATCGAGACTAAAATAAACGATCAGTCGCTAAGAGAAATTTGACACTGCAAGGCGGTGATTGGGGAAATCCAGGTGATGGGCGGACGTCAGGTGATGGGGAGAAGACAGGTGATGGGGAGAACGCACATGGTACGACGAGGACTCGAGAATGGATGCCAACCGGATCGGCTCCTCCAGGAGGAGATGGCTCGCCTGCACGCACCGCAGAGGCAGTGACATAAGGAGACCCGATCACAAGATAAAGGCACTCGTTCCATCTTTCTCCCGTTACTCAAGTACCAGAAAGCGGCAACAGGAGCAAATACGGCAGGTCCAGGATGCATCAATATGAATCGGATGAAAACGATCCAAAAACTACTAGAAGGGCAAAGAGCCATTGGACAACAAGGATGTCGAAGACAATGACAGAAGAGAGAAGTGGAGGAGGGCATACAGAGTGACAAATTGCTGAAGCCTTACATTATAAGGAGCCATGTTCGTTAAATAAGGCTGGAAAGAGAACGAAGTTAGTTAGCAGCAAGTACTACTGTCAACTCTCCTTCGATTCAACCAAGGAGATCATGGTGGCGGGCGAAGTAGGCGGAGAATGCTGCCAGGCCTGACTGGTGATCGAAAACCCAAAGCCACCTGAATTTCCGAGCGTAGTTACGATAGGTTGATATCGGACGCTACTGACTGGCCGACGAATAGCAATTCAAGTTCCGGCAAGTGAAATGCTCCAAACCAGAAATCAAAGCCCAATCAGAGGGGGCCCAAGGGTGGTTTTGCATGTCGCACGAAAGAGCCATCGGTCAAACAATGGTCAATTCAAACTGCGATCTCATTTTCCCGGTGCGGGTTTGCAAATGCAATCCTTTCGGGCAACACCATGCTGCTGCCCGTTTTCAGGGTTGAGGCTCCCCTAATCGCATGCCATCCAGACATTTTCTGACCGTAGGCAGATATCGATCCCTCAGCTTCTTCAAGTGCAGACCGTCAATGGATTGCATTTGCGAACCGCGCTGGCTAAATTGGATTGCAGCTGAAGTTGTCCCGTCAAACAACGTTCACAGCACCTGGATTTACAAGTCCTTATTGAGGCACTCGATAGCGAGGTCATCCCAAGGGTCACGCGACCAGCTAGTTCGGCCTACAATTTCTCATCCAAACCTCACCGAGCCGCCTCCGCACCAACCGCGACTTTTCGCGAACCAACCTTTCCCCACCTCCCCGCCTAGCTAGGTTTTCCCCTATTTAGGCCTCGCTTATTTCATTGTATCGTCATTCGATAGTTCTCATTCTCGCTATATTCCGCGCACTCACCAAGTTCATTCATAACACCTGGTATCAGAGCTACTTTCCTAGCCTACCCCGCTTTTTAGAGTGTATTACTCCTCGGAGAGAGAGGGGGGGGGAGGGGGGAGACGGGGAAGGATGCCTTAGGGTCCAGGAGTTGCTTAGGTCGGCTAGGAGAACGAGTTAGTTGCTCCTTGCGGCCATAGTTTTACGGGGCACTCCTTCGGCACCGCCAGATCCTTGCCTCAAACGGATCGACCGTGACCTCCCCCCTCTCTCCGGGCAACGGGCAGCAGTAGCTATCGCGACATTAAAGTGAGTGATTTCCGCTGCGATTTCCGACAATTTCAGAGCTTGATTCGTGTGGCAGCTGGCGTCAGCGGACCTGCGTCGGCATCTGCATGAACAACATCGACGTCGTCACTGTGTGTGGTTGTTGACGCCGGCGGACCTGAGTTAACGGCTGCGCGCCGATTTCGGGATCATCCTTACGCGACAAGTTGACGTCGGTGGCACACGTCAACATGTGCGCGAGGTTTTCGGGAAATCCTCGGCAGCTGGCGACAACGGGCTTGCGTTAGCATGGGCGACATTTTTGGTGGAGAAAAAAGTTGGCTGGGGAATTCGCCAGGCGCAAATAGAGTTTCGCGTCCGAAAATGTTGGTGGAACCGGTGAACGGCACGCGAACTGCCCAATTTATGCAGGATGAACTGCCGTCGAGCCCGACCTGAAGTGCAGCGGCTTTTACTGCATTGGCGGGCGTGTCATCGAATATTTTCGGCAGAAGTGCTCGTGGACAGGCGGGACTTCAGACTCGCCGACACTTACGGGCTGCAACAAAAAGCGGAGTGGCCATATCACACTTAGCAGAAGTGGGACGCTGGAGACGAGGGAAATCGAAGCAGGTACATCTTGGAAACAACTGTGCAACGCTGCATGCCTGGAGTTGTTGCAAGCTGGCCGCCAGTATCGAGAGCGGTTTCTCCTAACCAGGGAATTTGTTTTCGGGGATAGCTGCTGACAACACATGATTAAACGGCGTCCAAGGTACCGCCCGACAATTTCGGAAGGGTCGGTACGGGCTGCCGGGACACACAGGAAGAAACGCCCCAACGGCTAAGCGGGGGTTGAAGAACATGGTGGAGCAGATTAAAAGCCGGAGGAACCGATCTGCTGCCCTACTTCGCCCGAACCTCACCATCCCCACCAAGTCTTAGTTCTGACTCATGTAGTCTGTCGAAGAAAATAGCCCCGCCCTCGCTTGAGCGTAGCTGATCTCGCTGTAGACGGGAAGTTCGCGACGGAGCGGTCGACGAAATGGGCTTCTGCAGTTCGACGGAAGTTGCGGTCGAGCAGGTTCTGCTCGACGGAATCTGGTCGACGAGCTCTGCGCGATGAGCTCTGGTCGACGATCTCTGCGCGGCGAGCTTCCGTCGAAGAGCGCTGGTCGAAGAACTCTGGTCGAAGAGTTCTGGTCGAGAAGTTCTGCTCGGCGGATTCTGTTCGACCGAGCAGAGTCGAGCTGATCGACCGAAGTTGCAGAGTTGCGCGAAACTCTGCGAAGGCGTGCGAACATTCGCCCAGGAGATTTTGGCGAAGTTCTACCTGCGGAACGGCATCACGTGGTCGACGGTGCGCACCTGGCGAAACCGACGACACGTTTTCTACCTGGCACCTGCGCAATGTGCCTGACGGTGAAACCGCCAACTGCGCAGATAGACAACCTGCGACCGTAGAAAGTTACCTGCGATTGCAGATAGTCACCTGCGACTGCAGTGCTGGCAGACCGCGCGCAGTGCAACGCTGGCAGACTCCTCTGCTGCAGCGTTGGCAAGCCGCGCTTCTGCTGCGCTGGCAGAGTTCGCCCTTGCTAGGAGTTCCATGCCATTCTAGTCTTTAGTTCTACATGCCTCGTTGTTGTATTCTATTCTTTTCCTATCCACTTTGTTATTGCAAGTTGTTCTTTGCCTCATTGTTGCAAGTTGTTCTTGCCAAACTTCTCAGTGAACATAGCAAGCAGTAAGAACGCTAGCAGAGCGCTACGATCACTCGCACAACCCCGTGCCCTCCTCCGTAGTCCACTCCCGTTGTGTAGTGACTCTCCGCATGGTGCGGTGAGCGTGGACGGCCCCGCGTTAGAACCTTCAGATTAGCCAACTCTTGCGTTACTTACCTAAGTTGTTGTAGGCCGACAACCCTAAACCTCGACCAGGAGGAGGTCGCTGCAGGCGTAGAGGATACCCTGCAGGCGCGGTTAGATGACGTTCGGGCACGCCACGCAGCTGGCGAGTACGGCGGAGCAACCTTGGAGGTTATGCTCTTTGGAACCCGCGTGCAGTGGGCGCGCGAGCACCCAACGACCCGTACTGAGGCGGATGGACTGCCCGCCACTCCCCGACCGGCACGCAACGAAGGCGGCGTCGACGACCAGGTCGACGGCGGTGACCAAGTCGGCAGTGAAGGAGCCAGCATGAGGCTTCGTGGAGTGATTCGGGCCGCCGACGTCGGTGTCGGCGGAATGCAGGCGCGAGTTCAACGCTCGGCGGCAGCAGGCAGCTCGAACGGCAACATGGATGGGCAACGTCAATCTCCTCTGCGGAGTGGAGTCAGGCCGACTTCGGCGACTCATGCGTCGGCCGGTCAAGACGGAGGCATCGCGCCGGCATACGGATATTTTAAATTCTCGCCGGACAAGATCGCTGTGCCTAGGCCGCTCGAAGGTCGACACGACTTGATCACGTAGATTGAAGCCATCGAGCCGCAGCTGGAGATCGCCGGATTGAAGAAGTTCGTCGACGGCAATGTTGCGACGCCGGACGCAGACGACTCTGAACTCTGGGCGGAATTTCGCGCTGCTCATCTTCTGACCTTCATGGTCATTTCGAGGTGTTGTTCGCCTCTGGTGCAGGTCGCATTGACGTCGTGCAGACAACAGGTGGATGCTGGCTACCAAGCATGGCAGTACATCATGCGCACCTACAAGGCGATCGACGACCTCTACATCAGTCAATTGGAGAGGAAATTGGCCAACCTTCGGATGGGCGAGCAGGAATCGGCAACCGAGTACTGCAATCGCGCTCGACGAATTTTGGCCGATATGCGGATGGCTGGCTTCGAGTACTCGGTGGCGTCGTATGTCACGCATGTCATCAATGGCCTCCCCTCGAGCTACAATCTGATGCGCCGGATGCTGACGATGCCTGGCGCACGTGAGTCGCTCAACGAGGACACGCTGTCGAGCCAGATCATCAACGACGAATTCATGCAGGAGTCTGAGTGGGCTTCGGAGCTCCTTCCGCAGGCCAACTACGTTGCTCCGACGAAGCTGGGACATCAGCCGGGGCAGCGTGGAAATTCGGGCGGAAGTGCAGGCAGTGGCGGGAAGTCGTCGAACGCGAAATCGACGGAGGGCGCCGACCGCGGAAAATCGGCAAAGGGAGGAGATCGCGGTGGCGGTGGCTCGCGTCGAGAAGGACGTCTCTGCTACATCTACGATGCTCCCGACCACCTCTCGTACGACTGCCCCGACAGAGACGAGTCTGACGACGATCGGGACGCCAACCGCAGAAAGGGAGAAGGTGGCCGTCGTCGTCGAGACAACCAGCCGCGCAAGGAGAAGCAGGCGTCGAAGACGGCTTCGACGAAAGATGCTGACTCTTCTGGCGGCAATGCTCGTGGCGAGGAGGCTTCGTGCTCGATGGTCGGCGCGGTGGAGCCGACGATCTCGCTGGCGCTGGAGGCTGGCGAGGACTTCAAGGCGGTCGCTGATGCTATGGAGGCGAATCCGACGATCGTGCTCCTCGACAGCGGCTGTTCCCACCATCTGATGGGGACGAAGGAGGCCTTCGTCGACATGCAGCCGAGCGGAGACGTGCGCCACGCCCGCGGCTTCAATGGGGCACTTCAGAGCGTCGAAGGCAGAGGCACCATTGCTCTGCAAGGGGAGGCCGGGAAGCAGGTCCTCGTCCCCGACGTACTCTACGTTCCGGGTGTGCACGCGAACCTGCTGTCTTCCGGCCAGCTCAAGGAGAACGGCGTGAAGCTACAGGACGACGGAGCAGAGATGCTGCTGGTGTCTTCTGCCGGCGATGTCCTTGGTCGCGCACGCTACTCTGGCAGAGTGCTCTGCACGGACCTGCGCCCCTGCTCGACGAAGTCGACGGCGACTTCGACGGAGGTTGTGGCTCTGCGGACGATC